TACCAGCCAGGCTTCAATGCATTCCTATATAAAGACGTTGCATCTAACTGATAGATAATTATTATTATCCCGATACAGAAAGAGAGAAAACCAGAACGCTGCTTAAAAGGGCCGTTTAATAACTGGAAAATTATTAATAAGCGCACATTTTTGCGATAATTATTAAGTGTGCTGCATAACTTACAGCTTTTATTACCTGTTCGCTGTATTAAACTTAATTGAAATCATTCTGCAACTGTTTGTTTATAATAACGCCTCACAAGACAGTTACTATCCATTGTAAAATTAGGTTTTTATTTACAATTAAGCTAATTATAATTTTAATTAACATTAAAAGTCCTGGTTTAAACCATAGTGAGGTTCGTTGTCTTCATTTGATTGAAGTCTCTTGTTTAACTGTCTTTTAAAATACTACACTAAGAAAAATGTACATGCACTGATAATGAAACTAATTTTGTAAGCGATTAATAAAATATTATTATTTAACTTAAATTAAAAATTGTAATGGCTATAAAAAATGTACCACCTAAGGTACCTTTTTTATTAAATTTTCAATGTCTTATTGGGACAAAAACCTACGATTTGTCAAAGTAATGAGATTATTTTTATATATATATATACAGAATAAACTTTTTTTACTGTTAATAAAATTCTCATTTACCATAATGAAGCAGTAATGTTGAGTTTTTATAAAAAAATGTTTTTTTACTGTTAATAAAATTCTCATTTACCATAATGAAGCAGTAATGTTGAGTTTTTATAAAAAAATGTTCATCCAACAAAGTAATAGTTGTTATCATATTGTGATGGCAATAAGAAATACTTGATGTTTATATTAAATATTTATCAAACTTAAAATGTTTTTGTTAAATCTATAGTTGTGTGTGAATTGCGCTTGCATAAAGTAACATTTGTTCATTTAACTATGTCATATTTGTCTTTTTTAAATTACTATCTTGTTATTCAAATTAATTTTATTTCAGTTAGAAAATCTCTGTTAATAGCTTACGTTAAGAACAATAACAAAAATATTTGATTGCTATAAAAATACTTTTTTAACAAAATTTTTGTTATTTCCCTTAAAAAGAGGGGGAAAGGGCCAGCGCTCTCCTTGGTGAACATAACTTTATAATCCACAGTCTGTGTTATAACCTTATTGATTTCACTTTTGCGAGTGAAGTGTGGTAAAATCTAGCATGATAAAAATATCAAAAGAATCAATAAGAAAATTAAAATTTCGATGTTTTCTAAAAGAAATATTTAAGGTCTATTCTATATTAAAGGAGACTTGTTGTTTAAAAAGTGAGCATATTTTTTTTATTTTGTACATCATATAATATGAGTTTATTTTTTTGTTATAATAAATAATGTTTTAATGCCTTCCAATTATTTAAAAAAAAACTACCCAAAGAACACCCAACAGTAGGTTGAAAATGTGACCATTGTTACAATGAAAATAGTTTATTGAATTATCAATTAATTTGTTGTTAAATTTACATAAATTTTATTAATATTATAAAAAAAGTTTTATTTTAAACGAAAAGGGATTTGTAAAATTTACAAAATTTCTATGAATAATACCATTAGGGTTTCATTAATACTACAAAACGTTCTTATAAACGGTATAGAACTGTTTTCTGTACAAATAATAATAACTATATTTATCAATGCGTTTCTGCATCTGGAAGAGTGTTATTTTTATAAACCTAACGTAAATTTACTTGTATTTACTGGTATTACTGAAATCAGCGTTTGTAGATAAATAATTTTTATAAAAATTATATAGAATAGAGATCTTTACTTTATTAAAACAAACTACTTTTTTGTTATATTTATTAATTAATTTCTGAGTGTATACTCTCTAAAAATGAATTAGTCAAAAATGACTAATTTAATAGTTATTAGTGGCTGCTTTTTCACTTGTACCATGGTTAACCATGGAATACTGTGGTATCCCAAAATTTAACAGCCAATTTTTATGTAAAATTGTCCCCTAAATCCGAAAATGTCAAAAGTTAAAAAAGTAAAACAGTTTTTGACATCTAGTCAATTTTTCATTGAATATGGAATTGACTATATCTCAAAAACTGCTCCACTTTCATAATTTTTGACGGTATTTTGACGGATTCAGGGGACAATTTTACCTAAGAATTGGATTTAAATTTTGGGATATACCATGGTTAACCATGGTACAAGTGAAAAAGCAGCCACTAATAACTATTAAATTAGTCATTTTTGACTAATTCATTTTTAGAGAGTAAGTATAAGAAATAATGCATAAATTATTTTACATCCTGCATGTAAAGCATTAAGAATACTCGTATACTATAGCAGCAAAACGGTAGCGTGCACAAAGACAATAATTAATTTAAACATTCAGATAACGTAGCTAAAATCCTTGGAGTGATATTTTATGAAAAAAATCTCCAATTGCGTAGAACCGCACCGCAGCAACGATATCTCGTTACAAATCATGAATGAATGAAATAATCAATTATTTCAAAACAACAACGAACGGATAAATAAATCTGTGGTCGTTTCCTTGTGATTATTGCATGTATGAGACACATGCTTGCTTTATTAACATCCTAGACAATATGCATAAGATATGGGACGGTTTTATGCAACTTAGGATAAAGAATATTACATAAACAGATACAAATTTATCATTATAAGTTATCTTTAAAAACTTGTTTATATTTTTTCAGAAAAAAAAATATACAGATCGAAGACAAAAAGTTATAACAATAAACTTAAATAACTACAAGCTAAATGATGACAAGCTAAAAATAACCATAAGCTGAAATGATAAACAGCTAAAATAATCATAAGATTCATAAGCAAAGCAAAATAGTGCCAAGCTAAATTGCCAACTTAAATTAAAAGGACAAGCTCATTAACTATAAGCAAAATATCTACAAGGCATAAAAACAACAAGCTAAACTACAAGAATACAAGCTAAAATGACCAGCACAACTGGTTAAATTAACGTTAAACCTACGTTATGCCTGGTTAATTTAAGTAATATTGTACTGTAACGTTAAATTAACTTTAAATTAACGTTATTTTGTTATAAGTGGAAATTCAATTAAGGTAAAATTAACGTTGTTAGTTAAATTTAACTTCTTGTTTAATGTACCTTTTGGTTAAAAAGAAGTGAATATTTTGTAGTTTAGGTTTTTTTCCCTTTTTAACTACTTTTTAACTCTAAAGTTGTCTTAATCTATAATTAACCGGTTTAAGTTTATTTTAACTCAATATAATTATAATTTACCAAATATCAGCGAGTTAAAATATATTTGGTAAAATATACCTTGTTGGTTACAAAAATATATCCTGTGGTTAATTTACCAAAAAGTTATATCAAAAGTTAAACTAAACCAAAACATGTCTAAAAAAATAACTAGTCTTAAAGAATAAAATAAAAAGTTAATATAAAGTTATGTCTCTTCTAAAGTAACCTTCTTTTCAACTTATAAATAATATTACTAAGTAACTAGTTAAATATTTGGTTTATTTATAGTCAATTTAAACTCTTGAAATAATCTTAAATTTAGGTTATTTGAAGAGTTTAAATTGGCTATAAATAAACCAAATATTTAACTAGTTAGTAATATTACCAATAGGTTTATTTTATTAGTTAAATTATACTTAAAAATAACCTTTGAATTTACCTTAAGGTTATAACAACCGGTTGGTAAATTTAAAGGGTTACTTTTTAGTTCAAAGTAACCTTAAAAAAATGTTAATGGTTGAATACAACTAATTGGTTAAAAAGCAAGTTTCAAAATCGTTATTTTGGTAAATTTACTAAGAATACTAGTTATTTAACTAGTTGGGTAAGCTAAAAAGGTTACTTCCTTTGGGGTATTTCCATTGTAACGGGTGCGACACTGACACTGCGTTTTTTCATGATAATAAAGTGTTTGTTCATATATATCAAGATACAAAAATGGTATAAAAAATAAGATATTTAACTCAAACAAAATGTCAATAAAAACTGTTATAGAAAACCTTTTAAAACATCATGAATCGCGTAACGTAACAAATGCGACCAAGTTGGCTTCCAAAGTTGATCATATAAAATTTTGGATGAAAACATATAGTTATAATTTTATGTGTAAAACTTGAATAGTAATCTCAAACAAGCAAGTATTTTAAATGCACAAATGAGTAGCATCCGTGCAAAACCGGCTAAATCCATTTTATTCAGTTTTTGTTTTTTTTTTATTTCGCATCTTTGGGTTTATTTCTATCGACAACCAAGATAATTTTGTTTAAATCCGACTATATCCATGTTAAAATCACATTTAAAAGGTAGCTTTAGGAGCAAAACTGGCCAAATCCACGTTTTTATATCAAACCCGGCTATATCCAATAAATAATAATGATGATGAGCATGTGGCTTGGATATGTCGATACTACTACTAAAATTTGTTCTTGTTTTTTCACATATTATTCGTAGGTTTTTGAGCAAAACATTTTTAAAAATTTTGGCTTAATATAAAGTTTTTGCAAACGAAAGTATGTCTTATAAATCAAGTACCACAAAGCCCACAAAACTCAAGTTTGATTTTTTTTATCTGTAAAGGCCAGGAAACCGGGAGTTTTTGCCATTTTCCCAACATTTTATTAAAGTGAATATTATAGCCGGTTTTGCACGGATGCTCCTCAAATATTGTATAATTTTCTCAAAATGTAACGGGTGTGACTATTGGACTTTTTAACGAGTATTGAAACTCTTCCTTTAAGTTAGCTTCTTAGCATTACAATGTTCGAATAATTTAAGGTTATTAATTACGTCTCAATTAAACTATTTGACTTCAGATGTAGTTTTTGTTTTGTTAAATAACATATCTGATTTTTTGTCTAGTGGGGAAAGGTTCCGCGGAAATACCCTTTTGCTGTAGCTTTTCGCAATTTAAATACTGGTTGGTCCCCAAAAAATAAACATAAAATCATTAGATGGACGACTGTAACTCATTGTATGTTTGTTGTAGGTCGCAGCCAGAGGAAGCTATGAAAAAACCGTTCTGAATGCATATGGAGCTAAAAGACGCTGTGATAATGGACATTACGGAGGCGTTTCGCAATGAGGACATAACGAAAACGGACTTCTTCGATTTCGTGGTGACGCCGGACTCGAACGACAACCACTCCATACAGCAGTTCACGAAGCAGATGCGGACCGTGAACGCGTTCCTCGGCAACGGCGAGACCACGGGCGAGGAGGTCAAAGAGACGAACAACAACAGCATGCTGATACAGGACGTACCGACGACCACCTCAGAGGGCGTCACCAACTTCGAGGCGAGCTTCTGGAACGACAAGGAGACGGTGCGAATAGAGACCGCCATCCTGGAGGACCTCAACAAGTACTGCTGGAACACCGACGACAGCAACGGCGTAGTGCAAATCAACGCCAACAAGAACAATAACAACAACACGGACGGGCAGATATACACGTTGACGGTGTTAAACGGTATAGATCAGAACGCGACGTGGTACAGGCAGCCTCTGAACGCGATCGTGAAGGATGAGGAGGGGTCGGTTTCCAGTCCCACCTCCATGGAACATCTGCAAAGCGGTTTGGATATCGAGTCGATACTCAGCATCATGCCTGGCACTATAAACGGTTTTACAGGGACTTACAGTGAAGGCACCATGAGCCCAAACACTGACGGGTTGATAAAATCGGAGACATACACGTATGAAGACAGTGGTTTTGCGGACAATAAGGAAGAGTTAGCTAATTCGCTGATAATCGACACCCCTTTACTGGAAGCTCACGATAGCTTTAATAACAACAACAACGATTGGAAGTTGACTAACAATAACACCACTAACTCAACTTCCAGTGGGTCTCCGGATTCCTTGCTGAGGAGCGCGTTGCAAGGGAAAGCTTTCGTAAGGTATAACGGTAGTACTTCGAAATCCCCCAAAATCGAGAGTAACACTGAGTTGAGGCGAGCTCTATCCACACCCCCTAGCAAAACCGAAACGATATTCTTGAAGGAAGATTCGGATAACATACCTACAATAGTGGCGGGTATAGACGCTAACGGTAAGGTTATATTCGAAGAGCAAATCAATACGAGAAGTGTCGATAGCGAGAACCCTTCGAGTACGCACACTGTGGACGACCTGTTGCTGTCCCAGTTGGACCACTCGTTTCCCGAAGATTTCGAGAAACTGAAGAGGATCGCGAACGAAGTCGCGGAGTCTGTGAATCAGTATTGCCAAATAGACACGTCGGCCGACAACACCGTGAACAGTATTAGTCCCATATCGCCGGACCAGATCGGGATCCTCTACAACCTGAGCTCGCCCATACAGATCCAAACGGCGCCGGTCGTGACGAGCACGAAGCCCGCGACGAAGAAATACAAGCGCTCGAACAGCGGGGCGAAATCGCAGACGACGGTGCAAAGCGCCACCTCGACGAGCAACGGCGTGCGCAAAGAGCGGTCTCTGCATTACTGCTCGATATGCTCGAAGGGGTTCAAGGACAAGTACTCGGTGAACGTGCACATCAGAACCCACACGGGCGAGAAGCCTTTCGCGTGCAGCCTGTGCGGGAAGAGTTTCAGGCAGAAAGCCCACTTAGCAAAACACTATCAGACGCATATCGCGCAAAAAAACGCGGCTGCCGCCGGCGGGGCGGTCCCGGCCACCAAGGCCAAGTCCAGGTAGCCTGTTCATAGTATTATGCTCTCTATACCTAAACCTAAATATGCAGGGGAAGAGCGAGGAATGGTAAGTTATTAGATCCTTGTCAAGCAGCGTCGAATAGCACGCAAATATACTCATTTGTAGGTTTATAAGGAAAAATCAATGGGGTAGTTAAATTTTTTCTGACCTATACTTTTTATGGTTTTATTCAAGGCGTTTTGTAATGTTAAACATTTCTGTGAAATCAGAATTTCAATTGAGTTTACCGTTTTCGAGATATTTACAAAAAATATAAATTTTTATGACGTCACAAAACTCGCCATGTGACCAACATTCTAAGATTTCTATTGGTTGAAAATTACCCTGTTGTCAAGTCTTGTTAATGATTTCATTTGGTTATGTCAGAAAATACCCGAAGAGGTTATGTACAAATACTGTCACTGTCAGTTGAGTGAAAGATGGTCACCAAATTCATTAAGTACCTATCTTCCTTATTACGAGGTATCATATTACTGTTTGATATTTCTAAGATATATCTAAAAGAATATAAAGAACTAGGCATTATACTAATGAAATGCATTTACGACAAAATATGATTATAATTATAGGTACTTACTTTATTTGTTTAAAAGCTCCAATGTTCAATGTAACCAACCATTCCACAAGATTCCTCTGCTTTGGAGTCCGTTATTAATAAATCACTTATCTAATATCAATTACAAATAACATAACAATAACATTGATTTTCAATAATCTAAATTTAAAAAAAACATAACCCGAAAAAAAGAAACGTCAAAAAATCAATTCTTCTTCTTCTTCTCAACTAAAATTATAGATCAAGTGGTTTTAAAACTAAAATATTATAACGTGGCGCCATCTATCGTAAGAATCTTAAACTAAACACACTGGCAACCATAGAAAAAGCTGGCAACGTTGTCAAAAGCCTAGTGACGTAATTAGGAGATTTTTTTTTGTAAATATCTCGAAAACGGTAAATTCAATTGAAATTCCGATTTCACAGAAATGTTTAAAATTACAAAACGCCTTGAATAAAACCATAAAAAGTATAGGTCATAAAAAATTTAACTACCCCATTGTATAAAATTTTTATAAGTAATTAATTATCAATATTTTAAAATTTCCATAATTTTTAAAAAATTGTTGTCATTTCATCGTTCATATTTGAGGTCATTATTAGCAAAACTCTCTCTTTGCTATTTGGTTTACTTTTCAGTAGCAACAAAAAACTTTTTAGCTTGAACGCATTTTTTTTTCAATACATTAATATAGTAAATTCAAAAGGAAACGACGTACACGTCATCAATCATTGCATCAAGTGGAAGTGGTAGTGCAACTACAGAGCGATAGATGGCGTTTACATGCATAATACCATGGGGTCCCTAGATTTGGGACCTTAGAATACCAAAATGTCAAAAGTTTTATAACCTATATAATACCGCCAAAAGTATGTTTTTAGCCATTTTTAAAGACATTTTCAGCTATAAAACCCAGAAATTTTGCCATCTAAAGTCAGCCTCTGGTATATATATTATTATTTTATGTATCCACATATATTTTGTTAAATATTCTAATATACCATTAATAATAATCCTATTTACCTCTCTAACAGCTGTTAAAGGTAACAAAGGTCCATTATTATCCCGTTCTGCCTCAAAATAGCGTATTAAGGATGATACCAACTCTTTACTTTATTTTAATCTAAACATGACAACATTGCAATTGCTGCCAACTTAATTAAGTTAAAATGCATTAAAATATTTAATTACAGACTTCGTTTTATACATTTAGTATTGGTACTAGTGCCCAAAATTATGACGTCACGTGTACGTCGTTTCCTTTTAAATTTACTATAGGCATGGCTAATAAATATGATAATCGTAAATATACAACTCCTATAGTTTTTCAGAAAAAAAAATGTTTTTGCAAATAGAGTTTTGAAAAGAAAAAGGTAAACACAGCGAAGTTAAACGTTAAATTATTAACCAACGTAACATAAAAAAAAAATTTGGAACACAAAAAAAATTAGTATGCAAACGAAAATAACTTAAATTATTTCAGTGTCTTTTACGTTTTGACAAACGTCTTGATCATCTTCACTTTTAAATGCAAATTTTATCCAATCTTTCCCATAATGTTTAACCAATAAACCAATAATGATAGTTTTATCCCCTTTAAGTTTCTTGCTTAGCAGCATATTATTTTGCAAATAACCGATAACTCTTTAATCAATTTTATATACTCTCTAAAAATGAATTGGTCAAAAATGAGTAATTTTCATAGCGAAAAAGCAGCCACTAATAATTCTCGTCAATAGCAATTTATATCCCGAACATTTAGCAGTCAATTTCCATGTAAAAATGTCCCCTAAATCCAAAAAAGTCGACAAAAGTTAAAAAAAGTAAAACAGTTTTTGAGATATACACAATTTTCTATTTAATATGGAATTGACTATATCTTAAAAACTGGTCCACTTTCATAATTTTTGACAGTATTTTCGGATTCAGGGGACAATTTTACATAATAATTAGCTGTTAAATTTTGGGATATCGTGGTATCCAAGTGAAAAAGCAGCCACTAATAACAAGTAATTAGTCATTTTTGACTAATTTATTTTTAGAGAGTAGCAAAGAAGCAGGTTTTATACGTTTTAAAGGTGGCAATACATTCCCTATCAAAAATCTGTTGAAAATAGCGAAAAAGTAAATTTTGATTATTTTTTCGATTAGAGACTTTTGCAAATAATGGCCTAATTTATTTATCGTGATTTTCGCAAATAAAAGTCAAACAGTCGTTTAAAATCTATTCAACACGTCGGTCGTAATCTACCTTAAATTTCCTTTCATTTGATACCACACATGCCAACTTGTCACTTTTAACAACTGTCACTTTTGACACCTGTCACTTTTGACACGTCATTTTTTTATGTGGGGTATCAAATGAAATGAAATTTGGTGTAGAGTATGACTGTTGTATTTAATGAATTTTATAAGGCACTGTTTGTGTGAAATAATTTTTAAAACTGATCGTGGACGACGATTCGGCTTTAAAAATATTTTTTAATAGCAATTTATAGCATTTTATCGTTGTGTTTACTTATAAAACCCTAATAGTGCCTTTTGAAATTCATCAGTCGTACATTAAATGTAACAAAATTAGCTGAGATTTCAATGGCCATAATTGCGAAATTTTTAAATGTTTAATTTAAATTTCTATAATTTTATAAAGGATATTTTTTTTAAAGCTACAAATGGTAATTTTTGTTGTTTTAATTGAAGGCTTCCTATAACAATTCGTCATTCCTTAATCAACTGTATATTTGACAATAAAATGTTGGTTGTAACCTTTGGTCAAAATTTATATTTTGAAACACTCATATATGTAGATACTACTTAAATTATTTATTTTATTATAATAAAGAACCAACATTTTTGCACGTAAAGAAAGTGGTGAATAAGCTCAAAAAACAACGAAAAAAATAATACTCATTTTGTATAATTGAGAAGAATTTGACAATCTTGTTCCTAAGCATAATTTGTTTTGTTAATGTTTTAAAATGTGCTGTGATTTTTGAATTGTAAAAATTATTCAAAATATGATGTGTAATGAATCTGCCTAAATTGTTCTTGCCATTTCTGTATTATTACTTACTTAATAAAAATTAGGTATTATTTATTGTATCGTTTAACTTCTAAGATTTATCCTTAATTTGTGCGGTGGTTCTCGATGTCTAAAATTATTATTTTTGCGTAATAATATTAAGACATGAGATATCGGGGACTTTACCTTGTAGACAGGGCGGTTTCTCCCCACTTAAAGTTAATAATACCTATTAAGTACTTCCTAATTTAAAAGTATTACGATCCTGCCCTGTTTACTTTGTTTCGTATAAGGCGCATCAAAATGTCAATTTAAAAAAAAAATTAATTTTACTACTGATATACTAGGTGACCAGCTACTTTGGGCAGCAAAAAAGAATATTTTTTTATTATAGATATTTTGTTTACTTAACGTGTTTTAAAAATGCTAAAAATTTTAATAGGTCAGAATAGAAAAAATATCTTTTTTTATATTTTTTTAAAATCTTTACTGAAGTTCTATTCGAGCTAGTTTTTTAAAACATGTTAAATAAACATATTGTCATGAGACATTCTTAAAACATTTATGTCTAGATTAAATTTACATTCTTGAGATGAATGGTATTTGTTGCGTCGCCCTGTATAAACTTGTATGGAAATGTTATAATTTCTGTGTGGTATTTTTGATGCGCCTTGTATAAGCATGTTTGTTAGCTACATTTGCTTCTAGTGTTTTTGTTAGTGCTTATTATTTTGTTTAGTTAAAAACTTCAGTTTACCATACGTCAAGGCATTAGTTGACCTTCTTACCTTATAATACTCACTTGTAAAAAGTATTAATTATTAAAATGATAATTTTTTTGTATATTGAAATAGTTTAATTTATTATTTTTTATTTAGAATGTGGGTAAAATGCGTCTAGTTGAAAACTGATGACTTACTTAATTGTTATTTACCATCTTCGAATTGTTGTTTATTTTATAAATATTTATATACGTTTTGCAATTGTTCTTTTTCTTCAGTATTTGTTGAAAAATGTTCTTCATTTCTTTATGTGAGATATTGCCATGGTATAGGGATTTTTGTATTCTTTTTGGATCTCATTCAATTATTTTTTTTTTTGTTGCTTACTGTTTGGTTCTGTAACTGCCAACCTTTTTTTGTTTACTGTGTTCTGTTAATTAAGACAATATTTACAACGTTATTTTAAGTTTAGAAATTCTACTATTACCCGGAAAAAAACGCTTAATCGGGCTTTTAAAAAGTCCAGAGTTTTCCAAAAAGCGCGAAAAAGACAGGAATTATTGTAAGCTTAAAATAACGATTTACATTTATTATTAATATGAACTTTTTGTTTGTATTCGCCATAAATCAAGTTTTTATACACAGTTTACGTTATGTATAGTTGTATCAGATTTTATCTCCTCTATTATTGTATTATTGATTTTATTAAAGTATTTTTATACCTAGATCATATATTTACATTTTATAACTTTTTATTATATAAATGTAAAGTTTATAAATAAAGATTATTTAAAAATTGTTTTATTTATTATCGAAACAGCCCATTATTTAATGTATTTTAATTTAAGGGAGCGGTAATAAATTTTGTTACATAATGTGTAATAAAATATATAAAAATACATAAAAATTACATCATTTACCCTCTGGGCGTTTGCATTTTAATTTTAAACAAAACTCGGCATAAAAATTTAATATTTATTACTTCTACATAATATAAAAAATACATAAACTTATTTACAAAGTTTTTTTAATTGGCTTGGGCGCAACACTGACCTTAATAGGTTTACAGAGCTCCAATAAGGTTTGCGTGGAGTCGATACTGGATTTCCTCTTGCAAATATCAGCTTCGGGAATAGCTACAGCTATGCTTATCTCCACATTGCAAGCTTCGGACCAAACCTGGTGAGACATAAGCACCGAAGTAAGTAGTCTCAAGTTATGGCCAATTTTAGCTTCTAAAATGAGAAAAGTTATGAAGACCCCAATTCTGATTAAAACATTTAAAGAGGTAACATAACTTAACATTATAAATATTCTAAAAATCAAGTCAATATAAAGTAAAAATTTACCAAATAAGCTTACGATTTTTGACGTCGAAAAGAAAATTTGAATCAAGTATGGGGCCGTCCATAAATCTAGTGACGCTGAAGGGGGGGTTTATTAAAACGTCACGTGACAAATCAAATAAAATAAAATTGCTTATTTGTTGCATTTTTGTTCAGAATATTACAGTTCGCAAGAGAGGGAAAGGGGATCAATTTTGACCATTTTTAGGGTCAGAGATCTATGGACTTTTGCACTTTTTGACAGAAATATATAAAATATTGTAAAATTAGATTAAAAATTATTATTTTGTAAAATATTTAATGAAACTTTAAAAAATATAATTCATGTTTTGTGTGTTTAATAACCTTGATTCTGTAAAAAAAATAATTTAATTAAATCAGTTGCGGCGAAAATATGCTGTTTAACCATGCACCTATTAAGCCTGATTTATAGATTGCCTTCCTTTCTTCCTTCCTCCCGTTAAAGATGAACAATACGAAAACGTAGTGCCATTTAGAGGTCCCCGTACGGAAATCTATAAATGGCACTACGATTTTCGTATCGTTCATCTTTTACGGGAGGAGGGAAGGAAGGAAGGCAATCTATAAATCATGCTTTAGGAGTAGCGCAAAACACGTAATCTATTAGATTTTAGTTAGGTATTTAGAATCAAAAGTATTTTTAAATAGTTTGGAAAATAATAAATAATAATAAAGTAATTTTTGATCTACTTTTACAAGAAATTTATATTTAAACCGCTACTGACTCAATTAAATTAAAATTAGTACAGAATGAAGAATATTAATATATAAAACTTATGATAAAATTACATCATTATGTACATTTTAAATGGTATTTAATATAATTTAATTTTTAACTTCCTTTAACAAGATTTGAATCATTTAAACCCTTATAAAATCGCCGCCACTGACTGCATTGACTAACAATTTGTACAGGATAAAGATTAATACCACAAAAATATGATGTTAAAATTTTATAATGATACCTTTGTTAGTTTTTTTTTTAATAAATTTTGGCCACATTTTGGCCGTTTTAGTCCACCGTGTTTTCAAACGCGCGGCGAAAAACAAAATTATGATGGGGTACGTAAATATCGTTTTTACGAAATATATGTGATAAATGCGAAACTTGTAGTATACAGGGTGTCTCAGATTTTATTCGGGAAATTAGGAAAAAAGTTTATATAAACTTGTATGTTATAAAGCTTCGTTTATGAGATACAGGGTGGTAATTTTTTAATATTTATTCTTTTAAAAATTTGGGTTTTTTGTGTCTTAGATTTTTTCTCTACTTAAAATTAATCCATAGTCGGGGAAACGTACTTATCGACTTACATTTAATGTGAATATGTTTGTGTTAAAAATGTATCAACTTAAATTTGTTTAAAATAAAAGTAATTGGTTTAAATTTGTAAAGAGTCATTCAAATGGTAGTCGATAAATTTTTAATCCATAAATTACCACTTTAAAATTTAGAACTAACATTTAAATGTAATGTGAGAATTTTTGTATTAAAAATTTATCGACTATTATTTAAATTATTCAAATTTAAACCAATAATTTTGTAGAATAAAATATTAAAACTACAAGTTTTAAAAAGCAATATTTTAAACTTAAACTTTTACATTTGCATTTTATATTTAAAATATTTTTGATTAACAATTGTTTTAAGTTAAAAAAAAATAACTTTTTAAACTATTTTGGTAGAAAATGTTTTATATGTATTTTTATTTTAAATTTCTCAACACTATTTTTAAATACTAAAAAATTTAACTAAACCAATTTAATCCAAATATTTATTTAAGATTTACAAAATTCTGCCCAAACAAATTATACTTAGTTAAGAAATTATTTTTATTAAAAAATAATGGTTAGAAATTGTTGCAAAAAGTAAATTTTGTCTTTTAATACATGAGAGTTAAAAATATTTTAAATTAATAAAAATTTATATTAAGAAAATTTTAAACCAATAAAATTTTAAATTAAAAAAATTATTTCATAAATGCTAAAACGGCGTGCCATACAACCCTGTATCTCGAAAACAAAATTTTAAAGCACACAAATTCATTTAAAATGATCTTCTCTTTTTGCGAGTTCTATGGAAAATTAAATTTTTCCGATTAAAATCTGCGATAAACGTACATTCAATATTTTTCCGCGAAATCTCGTCGAATAACTTTTTTTTCCATCCAAATAAACAAATCTTACAAGCAAATTTTTCAAACAACAGGATTAACTCATTAATGGATATTTGTATTTTTATACGAAACTACTAAAATTTTTTTCAACGTCAAAAATCGTAAATTTATAGAGGACCTCAATATTTTTTTAATTTTTGTTATTTTTTTGGCCACTTTCCTAAAAATGAGATTGAATAATAAGATAATGACATATTTACCTTCATTGTTTTCGTCATAATACAAAGGTTTTAAATGTGCAGGCCTTGGTAAAACAATTTGCGTTCTTTGGTCGGGATATTTGACCTTTAACCTTATCCTCGAAGGGTCCAACAGATACTTCAACTCGGCCTCAAAAGGCACGGACATAATCAAACCTGCCGTGAACTTTAACGAAGTATCTGTCGAACCGTTCGGTTCCAGAATCGACGCCGTACTCATTCTTATCTGCAACATGGAAAAAATGAAACCCCGAAAAACCCAAACCGTTAAATATTACGTTGACGTTCGGCGTGGGTATTTTCCCCAATTTGGCTTCCGACAAAATCGGGATGAGAAGTCTGGCAACGGTGCCCGGTTTAGGTTCTTCCAGAGAAGACAACTCTCGGAAAACCAACGTTGTGAAAGCGTCCGGTTCCAGGCCACCTTGATTCAACTGCTTTTGCATATCTTCCACCACCGTCAAAAAATGATGGCAGGGGGCCAAAGCTGAAGCGTTGCTCCCTAAAAAACCCACTTTAAAAAGTTTCCCAAGAGTTAATGGTAGAAGATAGAGCAGTGATCTAGTGAGCGACCTTTTTAGGATGGGCCCTGCTTTATTGTGTTCCTAAGGCTGTCTTGAAGATCATTTAGTTTTATTGCAGTTTTAAAGCGAACTTAAGGATCGCAATAAGACCATTAGTGTTACTTGGAGGATTGCCTATTTCTTCAAAACCTTGATGTCAGAGATAGAAAGATACTTTCTAAAAGTATTTAAATACTAGATACTTCCAAATTATTTTAAAAAAAGATAAAAGATGATATATTTTTGATAAATAATAAAGTACAAGATACTTTTAAGTATTTAAGATATCCTTTAAGATATCAGATACTTTCAAAGGAAAAGTAAATAAAAATACCCTATTATATCTGAAATGAAGTCTGATACTTTGAAAGTAGTTATTGTAGATTGTTAAAAATGTTAGGAACCTAATTAATTTCTGTTGCATTTAAGAAGACAGGATTGACAGTAACTGTTATGTAATACAAAATAATACAATAAACTTAAAATACGTAAAATAAATAATTATTTCAGGAACTAAAACCACTAATAACAAATTTAAAAAAATTGTAAACAATTTAACAGTAGTTTTTTTGAAAATTTTTCAATTCTTTTCCAGGAAATTTATATTTTTGGACCTAGCAACATTGTCTCATACTTCAGGTATTAAAGTTTCATTATAGTATAAAGCTTATGAATTATAAGTAAGGTGACCAACCATCCTGGTTTACCCAGGACAGATTCTAGTTTTTGCTAATTTGTCCTGGTTTTGTAGATTTGTTCCTGGTTTATACTATTTTTTTTATTATTGACGTTAGCAGCAATTTTTTGTTAGGTTTAGGTAAAACTTTAAAAGTAGGTACATTTAGAAAAGTAAAAAGTAAGAAAAAACCTTGTTTGAAAAAAAATTATAAAAAATTATGACTTTTTCTCACTTTTGTAGGATTCTTTCTATTATTTTTTTAAAAAGTGGTCGGTGCTCAGGTTAAAAATTTATTTACAAATCTGAGGACCTTCAGGATAGTACAAAAGTAAGAAAAAAACCCGTTTGAATTTTTTTTTTAATTATTAAATTATTAAGTTTTTCCCACTTTATTAGGATTCGTTAAGGAGGTTAAAAATTAATTAATAAATCTAAAACTTTGGAACTACATTTGGAGTAAAGAGTAAAAAAGTAAGAAAAAACCTCGTTTGAAAAATAAAATATAACAAATTATAATTTTTTCTCACTTTTTTTAATTTACAAATATTAATGTTTGAGAGTACCATCCAAATAGTAAAAAAAGTAAGAAAAATCCTTGTTTGATTTTTTTAAATTAAGAGTTTTTCCCACTTTTTCTAATTTTTTAAAAATTTACCTTCAGGATAGTAAAAAAGTTAAAAAAAAATCGTTTGATTTTTTTTTAAATTATGTTTTCCCACTTTTTTAGGAATTGTCCTAATTGTTTTATTAAAACGTTAAAAATAAACTACCTTCAGGATATTTTTTTTACTATTGACGTTATTAGCACACCTTTTTTTAAATAATTAACATTAAATAAAATAAATTTTGTTTATTTTTTGGAAGGGCGAGGAGGGGCATGTTGTGTCCTGGTTTTATAAGTAAACTAAAGACTAAACTGTTTTTAGAGTTTCACAAGTTTAGTTTAAATTAATCATAATTGTTAATTTAAAATAAACTTGTGAAACAGTGTTTTAATTATTATTTCCCTATCCCAGTAGGTTTTTCAGAATACATTCAAACTTTATAAAAAACTGTGTTTTGACTAATAAAAACCGGTTTGTAAAGTTAGAAAAAGTATTTTGAGTATCTAAGATACTTTTCTAGTATTTAAGATACTTTTAAAAAATACTAATATTAAGTATAAATACCAAAATTCAAAAGTATTTAAGATAAAGAATCTTAAGATAATAATTGTATCTTTTATCTTGAATAATTCCCAGCTCAGCATGATTTTCAAAAATTTGTACAATTTCAAAAAACTTCAAATTTTTGAAAACCACAAAATTTTCAAATCCTTAAAAAAATTAAAAAAAAACAATTTTTAAATTTCCATAACGTTCATATATCCAAACTAAATTTAACGTTATTTTTTTCTCAAAATCCTTACCTTTGACAATGTAAACCAGATTGAGGGCCAAAGCCCTCAATCTGAACTGCTTGACGGCGCATTCTTCGACGGGACTCAACCCGACAAAGAAAAACTGCAGCTTCAAGCACAGCTGCAGCAAGTTTTGTATGTTCGTTTTGAGGTTGTTGACTTGTTGCGTTGCCAAAGTTACGGGGTTCATCCAAAAACCTTTTTCGAGAATTTGATAGAGCTGCAGCTGCGCGGCAATGTACAGAGAGGTGAATTGCGCCGTTCCCGCCACTTTGCTGTCCATCTCGCTGAGCCGATTCAGGTGTTCTTTCGCGGTTTGGAGCATTTTTGTGGGAACTCTAAAATGTTTATATGTACCTAATTACTGTAATGGGAACGATACATGGGGCAGTTAATTTTAAGCTTTACAAAATATGAGATTAAATTTTAAATATTTGTTTTAAAATTGTATTAAGTTTTAGGTATAAGTTTTCATTCATTCGATACACTCTTTATTTTGTTTATTTTGTTTACTATGCTTATAGTAATTTACGATTCTCTTCTGGCATCTATAGAAACACGAAATAGGCAAGTTATGGTACAATATCTAGTTTTAAAAATAAACAGTAGAAAACCTATATAAGACAGTAGATTTTAGACAGTTACGGTTTGCTGTTTGAAGAGAATAGTTTAAATTCTTTAATTGTTGTAAGGGAGTTAATTTAACTCTTGAATACCCAAGTTCAATATTTATATATAAAATCAGTTTGTGTTATAAATAGTGGTGTAATAACTGGGTATGTTTATTTTATTGTTACTATTATAATCTAAGGTCACAAATATCATAATAAGTGGTTAATTAATTAATAGTTACTTTAAACTATATTTTACTATTATTTCATCTTGTTCTTGTGAAAGAAGGAATAGGCTGAACTTTCTATCTTAATGGTTGTGGTTGGACAAACCAAATTACAAATTTATTATAATCATTATTTTATGTTTATAATTATTATATTTACATTACATTTACTTTAACATATTATAATGTAATGTACCATTTTACTACATATTTCTTTCTAACGTTACACACTTCACTTTGTACAGTTTATCTTATTTTATTTATTTAATAAATTGATATTCATTATTTAATATGTTGAGACTTTGTTTCAAGTTCTGCTTATCAAATGAGCTATTTAGCTTTGCTTTGACAGGCGCACCTAATTGCCAATAATTACCAATTAACCAATTTAGATTGACAAGGAATGGTTAGCTAGGGTTATTGATATGAAGTTGTTGTTTCATTGTCTTATTTTATTAATATTGATAATTATAATCAAGTTATTTTGCTATATTTGATTTACACTGACATGTTTTTACTATAAAATATTAGAAATACAAACACCAAAACTAAAGTACTTTAGAAGCGAAGTGTAACTGCAAGTTCAACCAAAATTGTCCTTTTTCAAGTATGTTTTTATTACTTTATTATATCTGATTGTATTTGTTATTAATTACTGTACGATTAAAATTGCATTACCGTTGTCCACTACTGTACCATTTGTTATTTATATATTTTTTACCACTACCATTTATTATTGTTGTTTGTTGCTGTACATTGATAATTATATCAATTTGTATTTGCTTTTCTACGCCGTCATTTATGCAGGTGAAGAATCTCAGCAATATGATAATATAATTGATTATATTCATATTGATTACTTTGATTTTGTTGTATTATTTATATTCTTGAGATGTGCGACACATATGCATGTCTGGATTGTATATGTGGGTTTTTAAGGTTTTAACCTTATTAACTTAAATCGATGATACTCAAATTTAAGTGTTTTTTATATTATTTATGTGCAGTAGAAATAATATTAACTCTTGTATTAATTGCCTTATTTTTAATTCAATACTTATTCTTTGCTTTTAAATATCTTTTCAATTGCCCAAGTACTTACGTATCCACAGCAAAAAGAAAATCACGTTTTTGGCCAAAGGTAGTTTTTTGTGGTTAAAATATTCATAAGAATGTCAAGTAATTATTTTACCTGATAGTATTTTCCGCCATATCCAAGTTCCTGATGATGTTGTTTAGGAAAGACAAACTTTCCGGTACGGAAGTCGGTCTAGAAATGCTGTTATAATTCGAATCCAGATTCAAAATTGGCACGAATTGCGACATTGTGTCCTTCATGTACAAATAATGCCTTAAGGTGTGTGGTTCCAGAAGAGGTATAATCGTGGAGGAAAATTTGGCGGCGTTGAGAATCAAAATCAACAAGCAAATATCTACAAAAATTACGTCACAATTTTTACACCCCCAAATTCTTAAAGCCTGAATTATAGACTGCCTTCCTTCCTTCCTTCCTCCCGTAGAAGATGAACATTACGTAATTGTCACCATTAACATTTCCCGTGTAAGAATTTTTAATACTTTGTGACAATATTTTGCAATAATAGTAATAAAAAAAATCAAAGAATAAAATATTTTCTGAACAAAATCATATTTTGAAGTTATTTTAATATTTTAAAGTATCAATAATTGTTAAGTTTAATTAAAATTAATAACGGGCAATGTTAATGGTGACAATTACGTCAAAAATGTTTATTTAAATCGTAGTGCCAGTTATACATTTCCGTACCGTAAGGACGGCATTCCTTCCTCCCGTAGAAATTTTTAAGTTTTATCTTTCACCGTAAAGGTCTTTGACATGACCAATCACAGTGCTTGTTATGGACATGCGCTGTAGGGTGACAGCGCGTAGGCACAAAATATTTAAAATACATGATTGTTTAGTATTATTTAATTTTCAGTTTATTAAATAATTTGTGTCTCTAAATAGGATATTTAGATATTGTTTATGATCAATTTCTTTCATTTTTAGAAACGTTGCTTTGTAAAACCCCCTAGTTTCCCGGTCTTGGTAAAGTGGGCGAGTCTTCCAACGTCTTGTTCGATGTTCTTTTTTCATTATACTGCCCTACTATGGAGAAAGGCAGTAACTAAAAATGCGTTTTCTTGTGCTATGATAAAGCTATGGACATTTTGTATCTTAATTCAACAAAGAAATGCAGTAAACTACCTTTTAAGTTAAATAAATCAGTTAAATACCTACTGCTTTTTATAAAAATGTAGTTTATGCTAATTTCCCACAAATTTCTTGTTTAGCAGTTACTGCCTTTCTCCATAGTTGGGCAGTATACAACAAGCTGCCTGGGCAATTAAAATTGTGATCACTGCACTAATATATAAATGATTATCTTTCATATTTACACACAATGGGTAAAACGCAGAATATAAACAAAAACATACGGAATTTCACACGGAAATCTATAAATTGACTTTTTACAAGACGCACAAATCGTACGGGCACGACTACGGGAGGAAGGAAGGAAGGCAATCTATAATTCAGGCGTTAGATCTCACATTGCGGATTTTCCACGTCAGGTTCGGCCATGTCGAAGAACGGATGGATGTTTAAAAACTGCGGAACCAGCGGGAGAACGAGTTGCGGATGTTGGGCGCCAATCCTTTGCAGGCATTTGTACGTCGAACGTTTATCGTTCGGGTATTTTTTCAGGTTGTCCAGCAACTTTTCCACGCACATCTTCAAACCGTGCGTCGTCGACATCGAGCAGGCCGACAACATTCTGTGCAAACCCTCCCTGACGTCTTGAGAGAAGTCTTCTAGAGCGCCTGGAGGTGTAAGATATGAAAAAAATGCACCATAAAACACCACAAAGTAAATTCTGCTCATAATTAACATGGACAATTGGAAAAGTATTGTGGTGCTTCTGAAACTAGATTCAATCTGAAGTCTCATAATATCATATCTTTACGAACCCAGAATCATATCATATGGCCCAGATAATGTTTTATTTTTTACATTATTTTAGACAATAAAAATTTGAGTACATGTATTGTATTTTCAGGAGAAGTGATTTTAAGAAAAACATAAAAAACCGCTCATTAAAAAAAATTGTATAGACGTACTTTTGCATCATTTTTATTCAAAAAAGTAAAAAAAATCCTTTCAAATTAGATAGTTAAGTAAATAATTAAAATCAAAAGATTTAAAAACATAGTTTTGCATCTTCGTTCAAAGACCAAGTTTTGCAAGTGAAAAGTGCAAATACCAAAAAATAACAATAAATTAGTTAATTGTTAGTCGTCACGTAATGTGTACTAGCGACGTGATTGGTCAACAGCAAATACCGAGTTTTGCATACGACAGGAAGAAACAGTTTTGCATCTGCGTTAAGTTTTTAAATGTATTTTATTCTACAAATATGTGCAGTGCAGTAATGTACATAAAATTTGCAAAATCCGAGTTTTGCATCTAATGTACTCATTTATTGAATGCAACTATTTTTATAATAATAGTTGGATTCAATAGACATTTCTTTTTTGCTTACCAATATTGTCTGAAATAATGTAAAAAATAAAATATTGTCTGGGCCAAATGATATGATTCCGGGCTTCTATATGCTTATATACTGTATTGGCCATAATTATTGCAACTGTAAAAAAATCTAACTCTAAAACGCCTTTATTAACCTTTATGAAATTTTGAATAGAAATACTTTTATTTAATAATGAAAAAACGTTCGAAAATAAAAAATATGCTGTTAAAGACCGTATTTTTGTTATTATACCCTGAACATTTTGTACAAATCAAACGAACAGTAACGAAGATACAGCGATTCAAAGTCGACAAAAATGACCACTCAAAATAATCAAAAAGTGGTCTACGATCTTGTAAAATTATTTAAACTTTATTAAAACATGCAGGGTTGGCATAAATAAATTGAAGAGGGCTTTTGTTACAATTTAATACTATATTCAGAAAATTTCAGTAAGATAAACTCAACAAGAACTGTTAAAGCAAAGTTTCAATTTTAATTCGTTATCACGTAAATGTATAGTTTTAAGTACTTATACGTATAATTTAAGCAGGCTTATATTGCCACTCCCACTGTAGAGGCAAGCCAATCATATGTCTAGTAGCGAGGGGTAAAAACTACCCGAACTGTAGGACGACAATCGCAACATTCATTCGAATACATTCACTCAATGAAGCAGCATTGCAACACATGGGCAGTATCGACTACCCAAATTGATCGCCAATGATCTAGTTTTTATTTCACTTGTTTAAATAGTTTTAGTTTAAGTTATGTGTAAATAAATATCTACTTAAAAACCATACACTATTGTGGTTTTAATCAACAATACAACAATACAACAACATCAAACAAACACAAGCATCGTTTTATGGTCCTTCGAGCAACAATTTAACAACAATTACCAAACAATAAACATTTTTTGGTCCTACGAACCGGATACAGGAGAGTTTGATCTATGGATATCAAATTTATCGCATCCTAGACGACAACACAATCAGCATTTCTACAAGAACTGGACATCTATAGGAAGACCATCCAAGCCACCGTCTTCAGGCCTACACAGCTTCCTATAGTCTTCAGATTGGGACAACACCTGGTCGCCCATTACGACAAAGCAGTAAGTCTCATTCCATTTACCATCCTTTCTATTCATATCAGAGTGTTTTCTACATGTACTACGATTTATTTTATTATTTCATATAATACGGTGCATTTGCATTTTCCAAATCAATAAGACTAGTTACACATTTCAATTATAATGGAACTAGAAAATCTACAATTTACTCGTGCCATTGCAATAAATCGTTTAAAAGATATCAAAAAGATAGCAGTTAAGGCCGAAAAAGATGAAGATCAAAAGGGCGCATTCCAAGTTCGATATGAACAAGTACACATTTTATTCAATGAATTTCAAGCCTTGCATGGGCAAATTATTTCCAAATCATTGGAACTTAAAACATTAGACTTTGCAGCTCAAGAAAAAATAAGATCAGACTTTGACAATACATTTTATGCCATTAAAACGTCATATCAAAGCTTATTTCCTCCAGAAACAAGTGAGTGTAATTCGCCATCAATACATAGCAACAGTAACAATTTCGTTGATAAACAAAATGTGCGATTACCAAAACTTCAATTACCAAGGTTTGAAGGCAGTTTTCAAACGTGGCTCAATTTTCGCGATTTGTACAATAGCCTCATTCACAACAATCTTTCGTTGTCAAATATTGACAAATTTCAATATTTACTCACGTCGTTAGGCCCTAAACCAAGGGCATTTATAAAATCTATACCAGTAGCTGATGATCATTACATAATTGCATATAATAAGTTAATGGACGAGTACAACAATAAAAGACAGCTCGCAACTGCCTATTGGGAGGAGGTTGCTACGTTTACAAAATTACCGTTTGCTACAAATCAAAATCTTAAAACATTAGTCAATACATTTGATGAAAATATTGAAGCCCTTAAATTGTTAAAGTTTCCGACAGATCAATGGGATTTTCCTTTATTCAATATGTTGTTGCAAAAACTCGATGTCGAAACTCGTAAAGCATTCGAATTGCAATATAAGTCAGTCGAATTACCATCATATTTGCAATTAAAAGAATTTATATTAGAGTATAGCAAGGTATTAAACAATTCCGCTGCAAGAACCGATAAAAGGTTATTCACTAATAATATTAGCAACAATCAATCCAAATTTACAAAACCATTTCAGAAACGAACGGAACATTCATTTGCAGTAAATAATAGTTCACCAGTGTGCTATTTTTGTAAACAATCGCATGCAATCTATCATTGTCAACAATTTTTAAACCTCTTACCCGAAGATCGTTTTAAAGAAGTCAAAAAACTTAAATTGTGCATTAATTGCCTAAGGCCTGGTCATATCACAAACGAGTGTACATCAAGCAACTGCAGAAAGTGTCAAAATAAACACAATTCGATTTTACACTTTTCTACCGATAAATCTAATAACGTAAATTCGCAAAACGATTTAATTACCATTTTACCATCTACATCTAAAATTGATAATATGCCAAACGCAACACAGAGCATTCATCAATCTTTAAGTATCATGCCAATAAAAGGTACAAAAGCCAATTGTTATCATACCGCTATTAATGATAACTTAGTTTTATTATCCACCGTCATTGTGGACATTTACGATTGTTACGGTCAACCTCAAAGCTGTCGAGCTCTTTTGGACTCAGGTAGTCAGAGTAACTTTATTACAGCAGATTTGGTAAAAAGATTAGGTATTCAATTACAAGATTTCAAATTATCAATTACAGGCATTAATCAGAAATTAACACAGGTTCACGCATCTGCTGAAATTCATATCAAATCTAAATTTAATGATTTTAACACTAAATTACGATGTTTAGTACTACCGACTATTACAAACAAAATTCCGACAATTCCATTTAACACAGACAATTTAAATATAGGTCAAGACATTCAATTAGCTGACCCAACTTTCAATAAACCTGGACAGATTGATCTTTTATTAGGCGCAGGTATATACTATAATCTATTAGAGTCACAAACTATACAATTAGGTGACAGTAAACCAATGTTACATTTAACTAAACTCGGATGGATAGTAACAGGCTCAATAAATTTAAACTTCAAGCAAAGCAACAATATTTGCGGTATAAGTCTAAATGAACAATTAGCGAAATTTTGGGAATTAGAAGAAATTAACATAAAGAAACCCTTATCATTTGAAGAACAATATTGTGAAGATTATTTTAAATCCACCACAACACGTGACGTCAATGGGAGATTTATTGTTAAATTGACCTTTAAAAACTCCGTCATAAATCTTGGTGATTCAAAAACCATTGCTATTAAACGTTTTAAGTCATTGGAGGCAAAATTTGTAAACGACGACAAGTTAAAAGCCTCTTATATTGAATTTATGGACGAATATATTTCACTCCAACATATGGGCATTGATAATGCCATTACACCTGTTTCATATCTTCCACACCATGCAGTTTACAAAGACAACAAAATTAGAGTTGTTTTTGACGGATCTGCAAAATTAAGCGACGGTCTAAACATTAACGATTGTTTAGGTGTAGGTCCAACTATTCAGAACGATCTCTTTGATATCGTTGTTCGATTTAGAAGTCATAAGTATGTTATGACTGCTGACATCAAAAAAATGTACCGACAGATCCTTGTTGATCAGTCAGACAGAAAATATCAAAACATTTTTTGGCGAGACAATCAACACGAGACTATTCAAATTTACAATTTAAATACAGTTACGTACGGCACATCTTGTGCACCATTTTTAGCAATTCGGTGTCTACACGAAATTGCATATCAAAATATCCAGTTTAAAAAATTTGCCTGTGAAACCATATTACGGGATTTTTATGTTGACGATTTGCTAACCGGGACTAACAGCATTGAAGACGCAATACAATTAAAAGACGAACTAAATACATTATTACGGTCATACGGTTTTGAATTAAGCAAATGGTCATCAAACAACAATAATATTACAGACTCGTGCACGGACAATACAGCTGATTTATTTAAAAGTCAATTTAGTGAAAACAAAGTAATAAAAACGTTAGGTTTGATATGGAATTCACGATCAGATACAATTCACTTTTCATTTCATTCAAATTCAACATTAAATGTAAAATCACAATATACAAAACGGCAAGTCTTATCCTTAATTTCAAAAATTTTTGATCCTTTGGGTTTAGTCGGCCCAATAATCATTAAAGCAAAAATTTTTATGCAAAAACTCTGGCTATTAAAAATTGATTGGGATGACATTATTCCTGAAGAATTAAATAGCGAATGGCTGAATTATATTAGTCAGCTTCCAGTAATTAATTCAATAATTACAAACAGGCCCTTACTTTGTGAAAATCCTATTTCGATAGAATTACACGCCTTTTGCGATGCCAGCGAGTCTGCATATGGCTGCTGCATATATGCGCGATCGACAAATGATCAAATTAACTATAGTATCAACTTAATTTGCGCGAAATCAAAGGTGGCTCCTTTAAAAACAGTATCAATTCCTCAATTAGAGTTATGTGGAGCGCTATTGCTTACAAAACTATTAAAAAAGGTGCAACTAGCACTGGCTATTAAAATCGACAAAATTTATTGTTGGTCAGATTCAGAAATCGTTTTAGCTTGGCTCCGAATACAACCTTGTTATTTAAAAACTTTTGTGGCCAACCGTGTCACACAAATTACAGAAATAACGCAATGCACTGATTGGTATCATATACGAGGGGAAAACAACCCAGCAGATATCATTTCGCGTGGAGTCAATCCAAATGTTTTAATTAATTCCAACTTGTGGTGGTACGGACCTGAAATATTGCATACAAGGTGCGATATACCGGTTTACAAACAAGAAAATAGGACAATAGCCATTCCGGAAATTAAACGTACAGCCATTGCTACAATTTCAACAGAAAAAATCTCGATATTTAATAATTATTCAACATTTTCGAAATTAAGAAATGTAACAGCATATATCTTAAGATTCATAAATAATTGTAAAAAACAATCAAAACTTACGAAAAATCTATCAGTAAATGAGCTAGACAACGCCACAAAGGCATTAATTAGACTTTGTCAAAATGAACAATTTACTGAGGAGATTTCGCAGTTAACGAAAAAACAACCGATCAAACCATCATCGCAATTATCAAATTTAAGTCCGTTTTTAGATAATGACAGTATATTGCGAGTTGGGGGTAGATTGAGAAACGCAGAAATTAATTACAATCAAAAGCATCCTATAATCGTTCCCACCAAACACAAACTTACAGAACTATTAATCTCACATATTCATGAAAGAAATTTGCATAGCGGTTGTCAATTAACGTTATCAAATGTGAGGCTGCAATATTGGCCACTGTCCGGCAATAGAGCAGTAAAAAGAGTTGTACAAAAGTGCGTTAAGTGTTTTAAAAACAAGCCTCGGTCAATAAATCAAAAGATGGGTGATTTACCCATCGAACGCGTAACAATAAGTAGACCCTTTCTAAAATCCGGTCTAGATTTTGCTGGCCCATTTATAATTAAAGATGGGACAACAAGGAAGGCAAAATTTGTAAAAGCATATTTGTGTATTTTTGTGTGCTTTGTAACAAAGGCGGTTCATTTGGAACTTGTCAAAGATTTGTCAACAGATGCATTTATGAATGCACTTAAACGATTTATTGCAAGGCGAGGAAAACCCTCAGACATTTTTTCAGATAACGGCACCAACTTTACTGGTGCCAATAACGAACTTAAAGCAATATATAAGTGTCTAGCGTCTAGTGACACGCAGAGTAAAATAATAAAATTTTTACATAACGATCGAATTTCATGGCACTTTAACCCTGCCCAGGCGCCACACATGGGTGGCCTCTGGGAAGCCACGGTTAAAGCAGCAAAAGGTTTTTTGTTTAAAATTTTGGGAAATGCAAAAATGACCTATGAAGAATTATATACCATCATAGTACAGGTAGAAGCATGTTTAAACTCCCGTCCTCTAACCCCTTTGTCCAATGACCCTAACGATTATGCTCCCCTTACTCCCGGTCATTTCCTCATCGGAGACTCTTTGATGGCGTTACCTCAACATGACGTCACCAACATTCACGAAAATCGACTGGATCGTTATCAAAGGACCCAACATTGCCTACAACAGTTTTGGCAACGGTGGTCCAAGGAGTACCTGTCGAATCTCCAGGTACGGACAAAATGGAGGTTTGAAAAGGCCGACAATGTCAATGTCGGTGAACTTGTCCTAATCAAGGAGGACAAAACACCACCGCAAAAATGGTCAATGAGCAGGATTATCGAACTTCATCCCGGTTCTGATAATTTAGTTCGCGTAGTGTCTCTCAAGTTACCGAGCGGTGCAATAGTGAAACGTGCAATTAATAAAATCTGCCTTTTCCCCAAAAGTGAAGAGGACAATAACAGTGAATGAACTGAATAATTTAAGTAATAGTTTCTATTTTTAGTTTTTTTGTCATACATACTATTATAACTTTAAGTATTTTATAAGTAATTAGTGTACCGTCAACAATTTGACATATTTAGTGTTGTACACTCTTTGTTCATGTTTACCAGTAATTAAGATATACTTTAGTTGAATCTTTCATATTTTGAAAGGTACACCTTTCAAGGTGGCCGGCTTATGTTAAAGCAAAGTTTCAATTTTAATTCGTTATCACGTAAATGTATAGTTTTAAGTACTTATACGTATAATTTAAGCAGGCTTATATTGCCACTCCCACTGTAGAGGCAAGCCAATCATATGTCTAGTAGCGAGGGGTAAAAACTACCCGAACTGTAGGACGACAATCGCAACATTCATTCGAATACATTCACTCAATGAAGCAGCATTGCAACACATGGGCAGTATCGACTACCCAAATTGATCGCCAATGATCTAGTTTTTATTTCACTTGTTTAAATAGTTTTAGTTTAAGTTATGTGTAAATAAATATCTACTTAAAAACCATACACTATTGTGGTTTTAATCAACAATACAACAATATAACAACATCAAACAAACACAAGCATCGTTTTATGGTCCTTCGAGCAACAATTTAACAACAATTACCAAACAATAAACAAGAACAATAAAAATGGCGCAATCTGATTGGCTTGCCAAAAAGTGCTTTATCTCACTTATGTTTTAAGAATTTCAAAAATTGGTAAAGAGAAAATTCTAATATGGCAGCGAAAATATAGTGGTAACCCAAAATCCACTATGCGTAAAAAATCACAAATTGTACAAAAATGTGAAACTTAATTTTTGGTTTTGACAGGTTTTCAGACTTGTAAATACTTTTTTAAATTTAACCTACCTTGTGGCTATTCAAATATACTTATTTTAATCAATGGAAGAAATATTTTTAATTTTTAAGTTTGTATTTTGTAAATCATATTAATTTAAAAAAAAAAGTGAATTATTTCAAATAAGTCTGAATTAATTTAAAAAATCGTTATGACTAAGGTTTTAAAATTTCCGGAAAAATTGGGCCGCTGGAAAAAACGGAAAATTTGTGAAATTTTCAGAAAAATTGACTTTTTTACGCTTTTTTATTTTTTAAATATTATTTAAAGGGTAATGCTGAAATTTTTCAAATTTTTATAGATAATATCTGTACAGTGATATCGGGGAAAAAGTGAATTTTTGACGCTGATTATAATCATAATATTATGATTATAATATTTATTCCTTTTATTTTAATTTAGTAAGAATATTCTACCGGGCTGCAAAAAAAACATATTTGGTGCTATTAACATAACTTCATTTAAATTTAAGTTTATAAATCATTCATTATTTTGTAGTATAGTTCACGTTTTTTTATTAAATCAATTTTATTTAATTCAATGTTAATTTTTATTTTTTTTTGTAATAAAGGATATTTTTTTAAATTAAAATAATGTTAAAATAATGTTATTGATTGCTACTTTTTTCAAATGTGTATATTTTCCAAAAAAAAATCAATTTTTCCCCCAAAAGCCAATTTTTCAAAGGCCTGGGAAAAAACGGACAAAACAGGGTTTTTTCCCCAATTTTTCCGTTTTTCTTTATACTCATTTTAACTTTGAAATAATGTAAGTTTTAAAAAATTATTTCAATTTAATTTTTCCAAAAATTATGTAAAACAAAATATGGTTGTAAAAAATTCTTAAATCATGCAAAACTGGTGCATAATCAAGTTTAAAGAAAGTGTTAGAAATATACATGTACAAGTAATTTAAACAACAAAATTTGTTCTCACCAAGTATAGTTTCCAGTTGGTCATCTCTAAGTATGATATGTTCTGAAATGCACCTCAAACTATCAATAGCCTTTAACCTGACATCCTCAATTTCATCATTAAACATATCAACCAAAAAATCCAGCGATAAATTTGAAAACTGCGGGTTATCTAAAGAAAGCTCGCACAGAGATTCTACAGCTGCTGATCTCACCTCTATAAAAACAAATTTAATTGCCTGTTAAATTTTATTACTAAAAAAAATATAAAATACCCAAATATTCATCCTCAAGTCCATGCACAAAAGCTCCACAAGCCCCCTGACTCATTAAACTTATATTATCTGCATTAATAACCTCACGGGGTGCATCGTCGGCCCATTTTTTACCGCTAGCCCATTCACCACTTGTCACATTCTCCCAGGCCAACTCATGGGCTGTTCTCTATCACAAAAAATATGTCTATTGAGGAAATAACGTTTTCTTAAAATATTTACCTTTCTTCTCATGTTGGACATCAACTTTTTGTCCAAAGTTTGGTTCAAAAATTTTGGACTGACCATTTTCATGGAACCCAGCAATTTTGCCGCCAAAGTACGTACATGTATCGATAAATCGGTTACACCGTTACAAATTTTACCGAACGCGTCGTCTATCAGTCTTATTTCATGTTCACTGCCCGGTACTAAAATCTCACTAAAAAAATCGTGCAATTAAATGTTTTAAACTTAAATCATGCAATAGAATTTGTAAAATTATGTAAATAAGTAAAAATTCTGGAATCTTATTAAAAATATTGTAAAATCCACAAAACCAAAAAATTCTTACTTTTCTGGATATGCAATTCCCAACACCCAAATCAATCTCAAGGCAACTTGTCTGACAATCTCATAATCATCCTTTAAAGCCTCGCAAACATTAATATAAATATCAGGATTGATCTTAAACTTCCTTCCATGCAATGTAATGATGGTAGAAAAGGCCTGAGATCTCACTCTGGCATCTTCATTGCTCATGTAACTACTGACAAGGTTTAAAAGGGTTTTACAATCGCCTTCATTGCATAAAGGTGAGTGTACACCAAGAATTTCTAAACATTTACACTTAACAGCATGTCCAATGTCAGTTAAGTAATGTTTGGCAACATCACACAACTTTTGGTGTACTGGGGATGTTTCTGGTAGCAATTTACCCAGTTTAAGTATTGTGTTCATACCCTGCGCTATTACTTTGTGAGAATGATCATTCTTCAACAACATTATGGTTTCATCTATTATTAACATTATATCAGCATTACTTTCATGCCCTATATCACACAGTAGTGATAATATTTTAACCCTAACTGAAGATTCACTTTCATTCTTAAAATAATCACTTAACTTTGATACCACTTCAGGTATATCACCTATATCCAACTCAAAGGAATCTGATACTCGTAACAAGGTCTGCAAAGCCTCTTTACTGCTCTTACAACCATCAAGACAACTAATTAGAGCTAAAGTTGAACCCCCCGGCGAACTTTGAGGCTTTTTCACCAAACGAAGCTTCTTTATTGGTACTTGAGGGGCTGTCTCCTGTAAAAACACAACTTTGATGAAATCTTGCATTAACAACGATAAATTCTACCTGGATTGTTTGGCTGTATTCAGCCAAAGCCCGTTTCTTCAAAACTGCAGCCATTTCACAGTTATATTTACAGTAAATACGATTAAAACATTAATGTTTTCAATTGTTATCAAACGTCAGCTTTTTTAGGTTAGAGAAGAAGATTGAGCCACCTATCGCAACAAACACAAGCTCACCAATAAGATTACAGGTTTCTGTAACGAGTTACCTTGCAAATTTGATCTAGGGTTTTTCGGGTTGTCACTTTAACTGTCAAATCAAGTTACTAAGCAAAATAGTATTTGAGGTTGTGTTGCCGCTTGATTCCGCTGAAGAATATAACGAAAATCTCGAAATGTCCGCTAGATACGATCGTGCTATTACTGTATTTTCGCCTGATGGCCATTTGCTGCAAGTAGAATACGCCCAGGAGGCGGTCAGGAAGGGTTCTACTGCGGTAATATAGTTTTTTTGTAAAAGATGACATTGCATTGTGATAATTATTCCTGTTATAGGTTGGTGTAAGAGGGGCCAATGCTGTTGTTTTGGGTGTTGAGAAGAAGTCCGTAGCCAAGCTACAAGAAGAAAGAACAGTAAGAAAAATCTGTTTATTAGATGAGCATGTCGTAATGGCGTTTGCTGGTTTAACAGCCGATGCCAGAATTCTAATCAACAGAGCACAGATTGAATGTCAATCCCACAAACTCACAGTTGAAGATCCTGTGACTTTGGAATACATAACCAGGTATATAGCAGGTTTAAAGCAGAAATACACCCAGAGTAACGGTCGCAGGCCTTTTGGTATTTCTTGTTTAATTGGTGGGTTTGATTACGATGGTAAACCTCACTTATACCAAACTGAGCCTTCTGGTATTTACTATGAGTGGAGGGCAAATGCTACAGGGCGTTCAGCTAAAACTGTAAGAGAGTTTTTGGAGAAATATTACACTGACAATGAAGTTTCAACTGAGAGGGGTACAGTTAAATTAGCGATTCGTGCGTTATTAGAGGTTGTACAATCAGGGCAGAAAAATTTGGAAATTGCTGTAATGAGACATGGAGAACCCATTGTAATGCTGGATAGTCAAACTATTGAACAATATGTTACAGAAATTGAGAAGGAAAAGGAAGAAGAGGCAGAAAAGAAAAAACAGAAGAAATAAACAATAAAACTTAATTTTTAATTCTAATGTTAATTTTCACAACTTATTAAACTTTTTAATAAAATTATATTCCTAAAATTATGTTTTTATTAGAAAGAAAAAATGTACCAAGCTTAACTCAAACTAAAGAACATTGTATACAGCATCTAGTAAGTCACTATATAGTAGTGACAACAAGGCCAACTTAAAACAGTTACATATACTTTTTCTATGGTTACAACCAAAGATAATCTTTGGTTACAACCATGTTATTTTGGCAGCTATTTTTTATTCTCTGCTTAAATTAATTAATTAAACTAAATAAACGGAAGAAGAGGTAGATAAGAAAAAACAGGAGAGATAATATTAACCAAATCTTTAATTCTAATGTTTTACAAAAAACTTTGTATTCCAAAAAAAACTAAAAATCTAGCAAGCTCAATTTAAACTTTGTATACAGCGTCATCTAGCGACAACAAACTACTTAATACAGTTTCCTGTATTGACAGCTGAAACGTCACCGCGTCTAACCAACAAAAACAAAGATGATTTAAACAGCACACGTATTCCATATGAAATTTAAGTGATAAAAGTTCCTAAATAAAACCTAACGATGTTTCGCGCAAAGATTCTCGCGTTAATTTGCGTGTTTTTGGTGTTGATTGTGAAACTAAGCGAGGGGCACGATCATCATGGGCATAGTCACGACGAAAAACCGTCTTTTAAGTATTCTAAAGCCGCTAATGAGAAAGTAGAAGAACATCATCATGAACCGGCGACTAAAAAGAGTAATAAAATGTTGGATACACAAGAGTTGTGGATAAATGCTATGGGTTCAACTCTTTTGATCAGCGCTGCGCCGTTTTTTATTTTGTTTTTTGTACCATTGAAAAATACAGAGCAGGATCAGCCACTGTTGAAAGTTTTATTGGCGTTTGCCTCAGGTGGTTTATTGGGGGATGCTTTTTTGCATTTGATACCACATGCCACAATGGCAGTGGGTAGTGAGCATTCACATTCTCATTCCCATGCTCACAGTCACTCAGAAGAACCGGAAGGACATGTACACGATATGTCTGTTGGTTTATGGGTGTTAACAGGAATTGTAGCTTTCCTGATAGTGGAAAAAGGTGTGAGAATCATCAAAGCAGGACATGGTCATAGTCACAAGAAAAAAGATGATAAGAAGTCCACCAAAAAGTCTGAAAACACCAAAGAAGAACCAAAAGAGATTAAGGTAGCCGGATATCTCAACTTGGCTGCAGATTTCACTCACAACTTCACTGATGGCTTGGCCATAGGGTCATCCTACTTAGCTGGCAATACAATTGGTATTGTGACCACAATAACAATATTACTTCATGAAGTACCGCACGAAATAGGCGATTTTGCTATACTTCTTCAGTCAGGTGTGTCGCGTAAAAACGCAATGCTACTACAACTCACAACAGCCATTGGGGCTTTAGCCGGTACAGCTATATCTTTACTAGTGAATAATACAGATACTGCTATGGCAGCAGCATGGATTCTGCCCTTCACCGCGGGTGGTTTTATTTACATTGCCCTTGTTTCAGTCATTCCAGAATTGTTGGACGAAGAAAAACCCAGCATAATTCAAACTATCCTGCAAATACTGGCAATGTCAGCTGGGGTTGGTATGATGGTTATTATAGCAGAATTTGAGTAAAATAATTGTGTACTTAGTTAATTTTTTATTATTAATTAAAAACTAGTAATTTATATACATACATATACATCTATAAAAATAAATACAAATTTAAAATCATTAATTTGTTAAATTAAAATTATTTTCCTAAATTTTGTTTTATTTGATCAAAACAGTAATTGGCCTGCTCCATCGACTCGTTGTTATCATGTTTTTTGCCTAAAAGCAACAAAAATTCCAATTTTTTTTAATTTAATATAATTTATTTAAAGTATGGCAGTTATATGAGACGCCGTTTGCGTCAAAATAAAAGAGTAGAAAATAAATATATCTCACACAAAATATAGAATTTAACGGAAAATGTATAGAAAACACAAAATATGTATACACTGCCCGTCTAAATTAACGCATAATAAGTAAAAAAGTTCTAACTCTAAAACGCCTTTACCAATCTTTATGAAATTTTGTATAAAAATACTTCAACTTATATCTCAGTTTACGTGTTCGAGTGTTTTGCAAAAAAATTTTTAAAGCCCTTTAATTAAATAATAAAAAAAAAACGTTTTAAAAATATCCTTTAGAGATTTTTTTTAAGTAAATTAAAAATATGGTCTTAAAGACCGTATTTTTGTTAGTATACCCTAAAAATTTTGTACAAATCAAACAAACAGTAACAAGGACACAGCGCTTTAAAGTCGGTAAAAATTACCCCTTTTAATTATTTTGCTGAAAAGTGGTCATTTTTGACGACTTTGAAGCGCTGTATTTTTGTTTCTGTTCGTTTGATTTGTACATTATTTTCAGGGTATACTAACAAAAATACGGTCTTTCACAGGATATTTTTTATTTACATAAAAAAATTTCCCAATAAAAGTTTTTTTTCGAGCGTTTTTTATTATTAAATAAAAGGTCTTTAAAGATATTTTCTCGAAAAACCCTTGAACACGTAAACTGAGATATAAGTTAAAGTATTTTTATCCAAAATTTTATAAAATTGGTAAAGGCGTTTTAGAGTTGGATTTTTTTTACTTGTTATGCGTTAATTTTGACGCGCAGTGTATAAAATATATGTAACAAAATTTAACAAAACAAATAAAATCCAACAAAACATAAAATACACCTGTAACAAAAGAAATAAAATTCAACAAAACAAATAAAATCCAACAAAATATAAAAAATATCATACAAAACATATAAAATTCAACAAAATATTACAATTCGGGTTCCTCACTTGACCGTTTGAGGGCGCTCGACGCACAAGCTTCAAGAAGACTAATGCGGGAAGTTTTTAAGGTTTTCTTTACATCCTTTTGGTTTTTAATTTATTTATTAGCTATAGCTTTAATTAGAAACGATGGAGTTAAATCTGCCAAGGATAGTAATATTAATTAGATACACATCAAATAAAAATCTCCCACTATTAGTCTTCTTGAAACTTGTGCGTCGAGCGCCCTCAAACGGTGAAGTGAGGAACCCGAGTGTTAATATTTTGTTGGCTTTTATGTTTTATTATAGGTATATTATATGTTTCGTTGAATTTTATTTGTTTGCTGGATTTTATTTGTTTTGTTATAGGTATTTTATTTTTAAAAATAAATTGTATGTACCTATTTTGTATTTTCTATACATTTTCCGTTTTGTGAGAGATATTTATTTTCTACAATTCCTTTTGACGCAAACAGCGCCTCATACAGTTATTTACTGCTCATGCGCATTTAAAAGGCGCCAAATTCAAAAATAAATCACTCACCTAAATGCATTGCTTCATTGCAATACCGTTCAGCTTCCTTCAAAACCCCCTTTTCAATCAAAATAAGCCCCAAGTTGGCGTGCAAAACCCCCAAATGCGACTTATCTTCGATATTTCTCCCAATACTGATACCTTCGTTCAAGTATTTTTGCGCTGTATCAATATCCCCAGCACGAAAACTCGTAATACCCAAATCATTTAACAATAACATGCTGGTTTCATTATATTTTCCATTGGATCTCGAGCAAACATCATAGGCTTCGTTTAAATGTAAGAAGGATTTCTGTATGTCACCTTTATCCAGTAAGAATTGCGCATACCAGTCGTTAATAACTCCATATAAGATTTGTGCATCTCTATTTCTATTCTTCTGCTTCTCTATTTTGTCCAGGCACCATTTATAGCCTATGTCAGCTTTCTCTATTTCAGCCTTTAACTGACAAATCCTAGCCAATTTAAGACTCACATGTATTACCTACGTGAAAAAAATAAAATAATTTACATTGTTTAAGTTTATATATTTTACTTTTAAGTTCTCTTGCTCCAACCCAGTGCCTAATAACAACTGTAAAACCACAACAAACAACTTTTCCGCTTTCTCCAATTCAAACCTCTCGAAAGCCAAATTGGCCATCAAGTCGTAACAATAGATGATCCCTTGTTGGCTTTGTTGCTGCTGAGCCAGCCTCAAAGCCAAATGCAACATCTGCTCAGCTTTATCGTACTGCTCTCGTTGTGTACACAATACAGCCCTTTTTAACGTCATTATCAGCTCCGAGTCTTTATCTTTATCCTCCTCGCTAAACCCAATCCATTGCAGGATACTCAACGCAAAAGCGATTTTAGGAATTAGCGCCCCATTACGTAAATATCTATGTTTACCGACAACCAACGGTATACATAACCTAAAATTTACGGGATTTCGCCGCAATATAGGCACGATCGTTTGCTGGACGATTTTCCTATGTATAAAACGATTTAACAAAGTATTAATAAGCGTTTTGCTAATCACGAACATTTTAATTTTTCAAAATTACTAAATCAAACCTCAAAATCGCGAGAAACCTACATTACCGACAACTTTAGATTCGAATGTTTAAACTGATTACAACAGATGGCGCACCTAACGTCAGTTTGACTAATTTTGACAACAAAACACGTGTAAATTTAAAATTTATTTCCTATATCGCTTATAATATGAATCTTTTTTGCCAATTTTACAGGGAACGTATTCAAAATCGATTGGGAGTTCGTCGTATTCGTCGCTGAAGTCTGAATTCGAATAATTTGACATCATCACTGATTGATTATAATTATGGTTTCGATATTTATTGCACCGCGTATCGTCGCGTTCTTTTGTGAAGATTCTGGGTGTATTCTCCATCATAAACCTCTTGAATCTTGAATAAGTGTCTGAAAAGAAGGTTGATATACCACATCTGAAAAAAAAATAAAAAAATTTTGTTTTATGATGTTTCTGCGATTTTTACTCTAAAATTCGTAAATCTATGGCTCTTGTAGCGTGTAGGACTGCTATAAGAAAGAAAATACTAAGAGTGTAGCTCGCGTAGTTTCCCACTTTATCACTCTTAAAACATTCTAAATTTATATCTTGACCAAGCTTTTTAAAGCCTTTTTCTATATATTCTCCCAGTTTTGGAATGGCTGCAATTAATGATTTTTCAAGGGGGAACCAGAAATCAAATAACAACTGTTCCATTATGAATTCCGCTATGCAAAACTAAAAAAATGTATAAATAATTCCGCAAAATTAAAATAATTTGGCTGCCTACCTCTATAATAAACTGAAATAGGTTCCATTGCTTTCTTAATGTTCTGGGATACACTCTCAAATCCCACAACAGCAAAAAAACTGAAAACATAAAAATGTAACATGAGGCCAATGGACCGTTTTCGCTAGTATCGTCAGGTTCACGAAAAACTGTCGTTCCTGTGCATGTTATTACGAAGGCCACACATGCCGGCCAAAATTTGCCCATAACTATTATTGACTACATCAAAATTTTGGTGAATAAGGGAAAAATAACCAAAATGACGTACTGAACTTAAATTTAGACAACATTTTGGCAGATGGAGTAATAGATGATGACAAATCGTATAAAGTTCATTTTTTTTATCTGGACTGCGGCAACGTTGCAAATTTAGGGGTTTGGTTGGTAAATACGGAACCAAAATTGGTTGCATTGTTATTGTGGTTATGTTTAAATTATTGTAGGTTATATATATATTCATATATATATATATATATATATATATATATATTCAATATTGAACGGTTGTCAAGTTGAGTTGTCAAAATTCGTAGTTAAAAATGCAATTATTTGGCTTTGGTGGGTGTAGATGAGTAAAATCATATTACAATGTGTATCCAACACTTAAAAAAAAATTCTGACAAAATATATTTATAAATACCTATATTCTAGAAACACTGAACAAATTTTTCTCAATGACTATTTTCTATAAATTTATTCTTAAAACTCGAAATGAAAAATCTCTTTATTGCAAATTAATTCTTATGGCAATTTATCACTAATAAAGATAATTTTATTAGTTACTTACCAAGGCTGCAGGTAACGTACTGTATCAATTACACAAATATTATTGATGAAACTCGTTGCTGAATTTCATCAGTTATTATTCGACTTGAATAAAAAAATAGAATCTGGGAATCTTTTATTTCAAACAAAGAACAGTGATTACTTATGTAGGCAATAAGCCTGGGATAATTTCCAATCTGGAGAGTTTTCAGTGGACCCATTTTCAAGATAAATAGGGCTTTATTTGTTAAAAAGGTTTTTAGAGAAGAATCCTATTTATAAATGGCGTGTTATACTTTTAGGTACTCTCTAAAAATTAATTAGTCAAAAGTTATAAAAGTAGAACAGTTTTTGAGATATAGTCAATTTTCCATATAATATGGAATTAATTTACGAGGTGTGTTCAGAAAATAACGCGACTTGTTAAATTTCGCGGGTTCGTAGGGTCCGGTTGCCCCCGAAGTATGATAAAAACTTTAGCTGTTTTCATTGTTTACTTTGTCTGTGGCAGCCGCTAAGGTTAGACGTGTTTTATGAGATCGGCGATTTTTCGTTCGTTAAAAGAAATGGATCAAAGAATTTGTATCCAATTTTGCTTAAAAAATGAAATAAATTCTGTGAAATTTTAACAAAGGCCTATTGTGAGTTTGCTATAAGTAAAACAAGAGTTTACAAGTGGTATATACATTTTAGTGGTATATATATTTTGGAAACTCTTATATAAGAGTTTCCAAAATGGCCGTGAAGACGTTGAAGATGACGAACGCCCCGAACGCACAAGCACATTAACAACCGATAAAAACATGGAAAAAGTGGAACAAATGGTTATAAACCATCAGAGAAGTCGCTGATGATGTTGGTATATCGATTGGCTCATCCCATGAAATTTTTTCGAATGTTTTGGGTATGAAACGCGTGGCAGCAAAATTTGTTCTAAAATTTTTAAATTTTGAACACATTTTGGCCAAAAACAATACTGTAATGATGCCCCAGCCTCCATATTCGCCAGACATGCCCCTGTCTGACTTTTTCCTATTCCCAAAAATAAAGAGAACCTTAAAGGGCCGTCGTTTTGCAAGCATAGATGACATTAAAAGCGCATCGCTGAAAGAACTAAAGGCTATCCCAAATATCGAGTTTTAGAAGTATTTCGAGTATTGGAAGAAGAGCTGGCACATGTGCATAATATCCAATGGGGACTATTTTGAAGGCGACAACATTAATGTAGACGAATAAATAAATATTTGTTTCAAAAAACGAAAATTCCCGATATTTTCTGAACACACTTCGTATCTCAAAAACTGATCTACTTTCATAATTTTTAATAGTATTTTCGGATTCAGTGGATAATTTTACATAAGAAATGGCTATTAAATGTCCGGGATACACATTGCTGTGGACTAAAATTATAAGTGACTGCTTTTTCACTTAAAATTAGTACTTTCTCTTAAATTATTAATTCTAATACTTCAAAATTCTCTGTGGATAATAAAAACAACATTATAAAAGACTTTTAATAATAACTCAATAAAAATCCAACGACCCTAATTAACTTTTAATACGGAGTGGAAGCAATTAATTTAACTTTTTTAAGTGTTCTCGGCTCGTATTATAAAGCTTTTCGACGGTAATAACTGCTCCCGCATCTATTACGTTCCGTCGTCATGGAAACAGAGTGCTTTCCGGATGCAACAAGTAACTAAGGACGAAAGGAAAATAATCCCAGTGACCTACGTATACGTATTTCATGGACCATTCGATTTGAATGAGAAGAAAGTGAACGAGTTTACTTTATTTGATTTTCTCGGGGGAATTTATTGGATTGTTTAAATGGGTGTTGGGATTTATTTTTGGAGATCGATTATAAAATAATTTATATGAAGGAATTGAAATGATGCCACTCGATGTTATTTAAAATCACTCTTGATTTGATTGGTGGGCATTGGTTTTGTCAGCTCTCTATCAAGCTTGTCAGGGGGCTTATTTGAATAATGAATGACCAAACAATGTTGTGACATTTTTGCTAAATTTGTGTGGTTTTAAAATACCGTATTTTCCATAGAAAAAGTATATTTTCTTAATAATAGCAGATCATTTTTGCCAAGGTTGATGACAAAACCATAAATTATTTTTCGACCTAATATTTCACTTATTAAGAAATTTTTAGACGCGTAAAACTACCGGTTTTAAATTCATTTTTAATTTTTATACTTGGAAACTGGTTTGAAGAATTTTTTAAATTGATAGGACTTAGGATGCATTATTAATATTATAATATGTAATATTATATTAAAGAACTAATGTCATAAGACGTCATTTTGGTCTTATGACATGAGTTCCTTATGCTATTTTATCTATTTTGCAAAAATTCTATAAAAAAATTAATTTTATACTTTATATTTAATTTGGACGAATTTTAATTTAGATAGTTGGTATCACAGACATTGGTATGAAGTCAAAATGTCAAAATCGATTCGCCATGCCGTCCTTAATTTATTATTTACAATAAGCGGCTGTTAATGTTAAAGAAGAAAAAAGGATTTTCTTTGGTGTTAAACAAAATTTATTGCCAGAAAAGTCTCGTAAGTACTAGAAAAATCATAAAAATATTATAACCAATATGAAAAATATTATTTTACTAGTATGCTTTTTAAAGTAGTCAACCTATAAAATCAAAATTTTGAGTGGGGTATGAAGTCATAATGAACATAAAATAGATAAAATTATAAATGGTATTTAGGTATTTAGCTATAGCTAAGTAGGTATACTTATTATAAAATTAGTTTTTAAGTGAAATAAAACCGAATCATTATGTTTTAATTATTACTAATTATCACAATTATAATTATAGTTTTAGTAACTCCAGGTTTACTTAAATAATTTCTCATGGCACTAATATTGACGGTGTTTTGGTGTCATGTCACTGATGTGGCATTTCTTTTGGTTATCTTAATGACAAATCTGTATCCTAATGAACCTCATTAAGGTATAGGTACTAAAATGTTTAATAAATCACTTAAAGTCTAGGACTATATTTATAACTTATTTATAGCATAATATTATTCATTACATGCATTTTTAAAATATTTAAAAAAATAATTTACTACTAATTAATTTAAATATTTGTATAGAGCGACAACTAAAATTATTGTTAGGAATCTTTTTTGCCGGCTTTAAAAATGTCAGTGCTTGTCGAAATATTCTCTAAAAATCGAAATTTTTCCTTTGAAAATGGACTTACAACCCTTTAAATCCGATATATAATCAGTTTTTGTGAAAGTGAACAGAATGTTTTTATGGGTACTCCACCCAAAATTATTAATGCTATACAATACTATATATACTATACTATTTTGCTGTCGGCCAAATCAAAAGGCCAGTACAAACGTGGATATAAACTTTTTTATTATTTTTTATTATTTTATAACCTCAACACAAAAATACAAAATTATTAAATAGTTTCTTGACGACAATATTAGAAAAGTATTTTGACAATTGTCAACTAACTTTAAACTAACTAACCCGTGACTAAAACGCCAAAAAGTGTGTATTTATAAAATATCAGTTAGTGTAATAAAAACATGTAAAAAGTATAGTATGTAGTAGCCCAATTAAAATGGACAACGTAATAGAGATTGTAGATCTCATCGAGACTAACAATTTAAAAAAAAAAATATTGGTCATTTCACAATCCACACAACAAGGTCTGTTCTATCTCGTACTAAAAACACAAAAAATCACTGCAACACTGCACAGTTTAACGGCGGCCATTTTTGTTGCTTACAATTTTTGTGCTTTGGGTTTGCGCTCTGTTTATTCAGATTAATAATCGTTTTAAACGTTGTGTTTCTCATAGTAATCCTTAAGAGGCCTTAAAGTGCTAAGAACAACATTTTTATAGAGGAGCTATTGTAAAAAATAAACTTTATTCTATCAGGGCTGTCATAAAACTGTCAAATGTCAATTTTAAGGTTAAATTATAACCCACAAATAAACATTAAAATTGTCATTTGACAGCCCTGATAGAATAAGGTATATTTATTATAAAAGAGGAGTAAAATGGTTGTCCTTAGCACTTAAAGGCCTTATTTGAGGCTTACAAGTGCCTCTGTAAGAAACCCAACGTTTAAAACAATTATTAAACAGCACAAACCCAAAGCACAAGAATTGTAAACAACAAAAATGGCCGCCGTTAAACTCTGTGCAGTGTTGCAGTGATTTTTAGTATTTTTAGCATGAGATAGAACAGACCTTGTTGTGTGGATTGTGGGTCATTTGAGCTTTTGCTTTTGAATTATCGGCCATTTTTTGTTTTTATAAAAACCTTTTTATCTTTGTTGGTTGATTGGTTGATATTTTTGTTATATTTAACACAAAAATTGTAGATATTATACTGATAAATAACTTTTTAAAACATTTTTTTTAAGTTGAAACACCGTATAAAGATAAAAATGGTGAATGCGCCGGGATTACTTTTTCCAAATGACCAATAAAATGACTACAAAAAAAAATAAAATACCGGCAAGTTTATATGTATATTAAACTTAAAAATTCGTAGAAAAACACAACATCATCAAAAACCTTACCAAAATATATGCAAAATAACAAGAAATAAACAAACAAACAAAAAAAATCTTGCATCTAATTAACTATTCCAACATGCAAATGACGCCCGAACCAAATGACCGAAAATTCTCAAGAATCACCGCATCATCGGACACCAAAAATGAGAAATCCCAGTGAAGGGGCTTTCCTGGCAATTCCCAACGTGTTCAATGATCGATTTTAACAGCCCCACTACGTCTGACCGAGTAACTTAAAACTCTTCGCGCTACCAAATAAAGTTCTGTATCAAAGCGACAAGCAACAAGTCAGTGCTGTGATTTCATTTTCGAAAGTTTAAGTGATAAAGTGATAAGACAAAGTAAATACAAAGGTTTCGGAGTATGGGTTAGTGGTGGATGTAACTCTGTGTTTTGTGTTCCTCTTATGCTTTTTACCATTCATAAAACTGTGCTTTAAAATAACTCATAACTGCCTTTAGTACGTACCTAATGTTCCATCGCTTTTTCTATTAGATTAGGAAGTTCACTTGAACTGCTAACTCAATTTACCTCCCTAGTGCATCTTAACGAAGCTATATTGTTTACAGAGATGGAAGCAGATCAGTTTAAGGACTTTGGAAAGGCTATGATTGACTATGTATCATCATATTTAGAAAATATAAGAGACAGGTAATTTTTTGAAAATGCTACGTTACAGAATATATTTTTGTTAAAAGTTTTTAAGAAAAATTTATTTGTTTATTAACAATGTGCTTCTAAACATTTTTGCACCGTTTAAAAATTATTATATCGTAAACTGTTATTATGAAAATTCATTATCGTGCTATTTGTCATTTTCCAGAACTCAAAAGTCAAAACGGTTAAGATTCAGAATAGTGTTTTAAAATTTCCGTGGCGGAAAAAAACGAAAAATTTAGAAATTTTCTGAAAAATTGACTTTTGCATTTTTTCATTTTATTTTAAAGATGATACGAAAAAAATGAAAAATATTTTTTTTAATTTAGAAATTTTTACGTATAATATCCGCACACTGATATCGAGAAAAAAGTGAATTTCCGACGCACAATTATATAATATTATGATTATACTCGTAATAATTATTTCTTTTATTTTATTTCAGTAAGAATATTCTACCGGGTCGTAAAAAAATATATTCGGTGCTATATAGTTTTATTTTTACATATAACGAGTTATAAAATTATAATTTTGTAATTTAACTTAATGAATCATTAATTATTTTTTAATTGGATATTTTCAATGTAAACCCTTTTTGCAAAAAGGACCCAACCGACAGTATAACATATTAAATGTAAAATTGACTATATCTCAAAAACTGTTCTACTTTTTTAACGTTTGACGACATTTTCGGATTCAGGAGACAATTTTACATAATAATTGGCTGTTAAATTTTGGGATACCATGATATTCCATGGTTAACCATGGTACAAGTGAAAAAGCAGCCACTAATAACTATTAAATTAGTCATTTTTGACTAATTCATTTTTAGAGAGAATGTAATTACAATTTCACTAATTAATCACTAAATAGCTATTTAGTTAAAATATAATAGGTACTGAATTAGTCAAAAATAATTATAATAATAACTGAATCGGTGAGATCAAGAACAGTACAAGTCCAAAATTTAAATTGTTAACAAGATATTTTTAAAATCATTTTTTTAGTTTAAATTGCATTTTTTTGAGAATATTTTAAATATTTTATAAAATATAATATCCATATTTACCATAGTTAAAACATTCTCACAAAAATACATTTTAAACTATAAAAAATATTATATAAAATATTTTGTCAAAATTTTAAATTTTGGACTTGTACTGTTCTTGAACTCACAGATTTAATTATAAGTCATATTTGACTCATTGTCATAGCAAAAAAGCAGTCACTAATAATTAGTCAAATTCTACTGAATGAAATAGTCAAATTAGTAGATTAAAATTTAAAATAGTTCTATCCCAGCCGGGGTTTGAACTCGGGTATGTCGCTTGTCAAGCGGATGTCATAGCCAATGAGCCATCAGTCACTTTTATAAAAACAGATTTATCTGTCTTTAAATATTGTTCTTAATATTTTAAAGTTGATTATTTCCCTCATTATAATATGAATCAATCAAAAGCCTTAAATTTTCGAATAAATTTCGTTTAAATAAGCGATTAAATCACTAGAACTATTTAACAGCGATTAAATTTTGGCCTACATATTGGATTTTTGTTTACGATTTTATGGTGTTATTTACAAGTTTTAACAAACATTTTTTAAAAAACAAGTAAAAAATAATCTAGTTTACGAAATATCAATTATTACTAACCATAAATTAATGGAATTTTCTTTAAAAAAATATTTATAAATTTTGACACATACGTCAGATTTTATGAATTGTCAAATAGTTTCCTTTAATTCGAGAAATAATCTAGACGTATATCACTCAACCTATAAATTTAATCTGTCAAACTATGCTCAGTAAGTTTTTTATTTGATTTTTCTTTTTGGAAAATAGTTTCATGCAAAATAATTAAAAATAAAACATTCAACATTTTCCAAGAAAAACCAAACAAAAAACTACTGAGCCTAGTTTAACCGATTAAATTCATAGTTCTCGTGATATGAATATATTTTTGTGTTACTGTTTTGAGCTAAACTTTTTACATCTTTGTTTGTTTTTAAGGGCCATTTAATGGAGCCTATATGCATTTAACTCAAACAATAATTTGTAGTCAAAAATATCTATTTAAAAGTAAAGACGACTATTTTATTAGTAAAAAATGCTGGTACTAATTCAAATAGTAGAATTTTGACTATTTCATTTTAAAAGAGTTAAAATTGTTGAGGAGGCTGAGCCTTGTTTAAAGTACAAAGTATATTTTAAATTAATTTATTCCCAAGATCATATTTGCAAAAAAAAATAGAGAAAAAAATTTATTTAAAAATTACCATTTGAAAGAAATCTATTACAAATTGGTTGAGGAAAAATTCACTACAGCCTTTTTAAATGTTGTCAAGGGAATTTATTTTATTCTTCTTCCTATATTTAACCGTCCTGGTAAGCTGACTCACCTACCTGTTCGGACCAGGTACCCAAACCATCAAAATATTCGTCACATTTTTTAATATTTTAATCTGTGTTTTAAACAAAACCGTATCGACTCTTTACAACTCTGCAGTTCATTGCCTTAAAGTTGACACAAATGATGCCAATGGATTCTTTTTTTGCAAAACATCTTTTAAAAGTAGCAAATGTGGGTTTTGTAAATATTTCTCCATGGTAGTCTATTGATAATTGATAATTTCAAACAAATATATTTCATTGTTTAAACAAGAACGAATTTGAATCGACAAAGTTTATTTTAAATTAGGTATGAAATGCAGATTTTTTAATGTTGTTCAAATAATTAAATTTGAAATCAATTATTATTTAAAAATGGGTTAATAAAAATCATTCCCAAAATTATTATGAGTAATAGTACTCCTTTAATAATTATAATAGTCGGAAAATTACTCATAATAAATTTACACAAAATTTGCGGAAAAATAGGAGAAAATTCTACGAAGGTAATACTTTGTTATGCAAAATTAATACTTTGTTTTTGGTTAGAAAAAATTGCTTCCTAAAATTTTCGTAGGCGGATTTATATAATCCTTTTTATAGTAATTTTGGAGATAATTGTACATTTTTTTAATTTAAAATGACAAAATTTCCTATACATTGGAGAAAAAACAGAACGTATACAAACCTTGATTGTATTTCTTATCTACACATATCATTTTTCAAGACCCACATAAAATGACCTTAATTATAAAAAACTATTGCCTTCAAATAATTAATTAAAAAAATGATCTATAAGAATGATAATCCATATTTAAATTACACTCATATGAGTGTATAATGCAATTATATAAAACGTGATAAATTTCCAGCAAGTAAAAGTGTTTGTATATGGATTGGAATCTTGACCTAACCACAATGATTTACCATTTTTATTTTGGTTGTCATTTTTTTGCAGGAGGGTTCTTCCTACTGTGGAGCCTGGGTATCTAAGACCCCTCATTCCAGAAACAGCCCCTGAAAAGCCTGATAACTGGGAGGATGTTATGTCCGATATCGAAAAAGTTATCATGCCAGGTGTAAGTTGATATATTGTTGTTATAAAAGTTTAAATAATTTATTCGTTTTTGAATTATTTAATAGGTACAGTAGTTGTCTAGATAGTTATGTGAGATGTAATATTGTTAAAGGTTAAATGCATAATTTTAATTGAAATTCAATGAAATTCAATGCTTTGAGTACCTACCTAATTGCTAAGGCTAAATATATACATAATTTAAGAAAATTACAATTAACAGCAAAAATAGACATTTATGTGATTTAGTCTTTTTGTGCTAAGCTCAAAGTTACAATTGAGAGAAGCACAAAAAGACACTTCTCAGCCGAGTGGCATAATAGTTATTTGTTTTACAAGTGTTGAAAAGCGACTTGAAGAAAGCTTTTCTCACAAGTATAACACAATGTTTTTTCTGCGACCCTTTTATTTTTTATTATTTTTAAATGCAAAACAAAATAACCTAAAAACTTTTTTGACAGATGAATGTCAAACGATGCTTTCCGGTTCTTTTCACACAGACCTGTCACTTTTCACACAGAAATGTCACTTTACATTCGTGTTTTGCCTTGCCAATGAAAAGATTCATTTTCTAAGCAACGATGCCATCATGAAAAGTGACTTTTACATAGTGGTCGTAGAAAAAACATTTTTTCTACTCTCACCTTAAAACGCCCATTATCGTACATGTTTCCATGACACTAAGTGACCTTTTAAATACACATTGACAAGCTAAAAAACTGCTTCAATATCTTCTATTTTCAAGGGATAAACACAGAAAAATCTAAAATTTTAACGCCCAATAAATACAAGTAATATACAACTGTCACTTTTTGTACCTTGTAACATTTCCCGTGTAATAATTTTTAATACTAGTGATAATATTCGGCAATTATTGTAATAAAAAAATTAAATGATAAAATATTTTCTTAATTATGCATATTTTGAAGTTATTTTAATATTTTAAAGCATCTTAAGATACATTAAAATCAATAACGGGCAATGTTAATGGTGACAATTATTTCAAAAATATTTATTGGGATGGTTACATTATTTTCGTATAGATGACGCTTTATACAAACATTTAATTTAAATCATTTTTAGATAATATTAAGTATTTGTCGTAGAAAAAGTATAGTATGCAACTCGTTTGTAAATTTTTGGTAGATATATTTCTATAGTATCATATTTTTGCGAGTTCTATTGCCTATAAAACACCCTGTATAATATACAGTGTATATTATACTTAAAAACTAAAATGTTTATCTAAACACAAGAAAACAAATTACATACTCTTTTCATGAAGTTATCACAAGTGCAATACTTAGCAATACCTAGTTTTAATTATAATCAGCAATATTGAATAACAAAGAATGTTTGATTTTTTCTGCAGGTGACACACTGGCATTCACCCAGATTTCACGCATATTTCCCCACAGCCAACTCGTATCCCGCCATTGTAGCAGACATACTGAGTGGGGCAATCGCCTGCATAGGATTTTCATGGGTAAGAAATAAGCATCAAGTTTATATATCTTTATTAAGTTAAAACCTTAAATAATATGATATTTTGTAAAATAGTTTTTCTACATTTTGAAACTAAAATTAAGAAAGTATTTTTAACACTTAAGTCAAGGCCCACTTAATTTATAACCATAACCACCAAATGAAATGATTGAACACTTATTTAATAACATTATTTTACGCTTATAACTTCTGTTCTCCTTTTATGATGGATTACATCTTTGAATAGAAAATTACTTCTGCCCGAGATACATAAAGGAGCTTTGGTCCTGGTTGAGACAGGATTATTTCCGGTTATATAAGGACTTTTCAAGCTGCATTAACTTTCGAATCAATTATAATTATCTATTCAAATTTATCTCTACTATAATAAAAATTATTTTTAGTATTGTCAATACTAAATCTAGACGCTAAAGTTAGTATTTATTTTCTTCCAAAAAGTGATTTTTTTAACAATAAAAATGATTTTATAAATGTAACCGGCTGAAATGTTACTTTTAGGACTGTATTTTTTTACAGTGTTTTTAGATAAAGAATAATGTAATATATACTGGGATTTTGATAAAATATTTAAAATCCTGGTAAAAAATCGAGAAAAATGAGTGGTTGCAACCCATACTTTGCTCCAAAATCAACAAAGTTAGAACATAAAAACAAAAGAACATCATGATCTTATTTTTTGAGTGAGGTATGCCTACCGACCACTCATTTTTCATGATTTTTTATGTAGAATTATAAAATGTTAACCAAAATTAATTTTGACTTTTTATAAAAATATTTAACTTTAGATCGCCAGTCCAGCATGCACAGAACTCGAAGTAGTGATGTTAGACTGGTTGGGCAAAATGATCGATCTCCCCAAAGAATTTTTAGCCTGCTCGGGCGGCAAGGGGGGCGGCGTTATCCAAGGAACCGCTAGCGAAGCCACTTTAGTCGCTTTACTTGGCGCTAAGGCACGTGCCGTCAACTCTACGAAGAAAAAACACCCCGACATGAAAGAATCCGATATCGTTTCTAAATTGGTGGGATATACTTCAAGTAGGTTTGAAAGATTTTGTGAGGAAGAATTTTTAATGGTTGTTTTTTATAGGTCAGAGTCATTCTTCTGTGGAAAGGGCCGGGTTATTGGGGGGCGTACAATTAAGATCTTTGCCTACGGATGACTCAAATCGTTTAAGGGGAGCTACTTTGGAACAAGCCATTAAAGAGGATGTCGAAGCTGGACTTATTCCTTTCTATGTAAGTGAAGAAAGACATTCTAATTTGTACATTTTTTGTTCGCCTTCTTTCACAAAATACTATCGAAAATAAGATCTATTGCGAGACAAAATTTACACTCTAATAACTTGAAATGAAGGTCAATACTCTTATGTTCAATCATTACAAAATCTAAATACCTTGACCAATAAATACTCCAGTTAAATGAACTTACTTTCCAATTAATCTGATGTCGTAACGAAATATAATTTTAGGCCGTAAACACTCTGGGAACAACATCATCGTGCACCTTCGATGCTTTGGACGAAATCGGCCCAGTCTGCAACGAAAACGACGTTTGGCTTCACGTTGATGCTGCCTATGCTGGTTCAGCATTCATATGCCCCGAGTTCCGCCATTTAATGAAGGGCATCGAAAGAGCCGATTCTTTCAACTTTAACCCGCACAAATGGATGTTGGTAAACTTTGATTGCTCCGCGATGTGGCTCAAGGACCCATCCTGGTTGGTGAATGCCTTCAATGTCGATCCTTTGTATTTAAAGCACGAACAGCAAGGATCAGCGCCTGATTACAGGCATTGGCAGATACCATTAGGTAGGAGATTCAGAGCGCTGAAGTTATGGTTTGTTTTGAGGTTATACGGTATCGAAAATTTACAAAAGTTCATCAGAAAACACGTAGACTTGGCGCATTACTTCGAGAATTTAGTAAGATCAGATGAAAGATTCGAAATTACGGAAGAGGTGGTGTTAGGTTTGGTTTGCTTCAGACTTAAAGGCGATAACGCAACCAACGAAGGCCTATTGAAAAGGTTAAACGGTAGAGGGGTAATCCATTTAGTTCCTTCAAAGATCGGGGATACTTACTTCTTGCGTTTGGCGATATGTTCCCGATTTACTGAGGAATCAGACATCGACATATCCTGGAAGGAAGTTAAAGAAACTGCCGACGAAGTTCTAGCCCAAAAATAAAAAATAAATTATAACTTATTAAAGCGATGTAATGACAAAAGTATTATTAATGTTGTGCAACAAGTAATTTATGTTAGATTTAGATTAAATTATTGTAAATACAAATGACCAATAATATAAATGTTAATAAATAGAGAAGCATTAAATTGTGTTTTATTATACTTTAATCAAAAACTATAACAGCACAATATTAGGAGCATTTGGGAGGTGGCCCGCCAAACTTCTTAGTCAGCTGCAATATTCTTTCAGCTTCTCTTATTCCGCTTAAACGAGCACCGTGGACTGTACCGTGGTAACCGGCTATTGCAGCTTCGCCAGCGAACAATAAAATGGGCGGAATGGGCTCGCAAGTGCCGGGTACAGGCATGCTGAGGTCACATTGGTGTCCTATGTGCGACTGCACTTTGATATAGCTTTTAGAACCGCAGAAATAAGGATCTGCGACCCATTTTGATCTTAGTACTGAATTGGGGTATGGTAGAGTGGCATCTCCGGTGAATTGACGTAGTAATCTTGTTATATCCCTGGCTACTTCTTCATCGGTTGCATGCTCCATTACTGAAGCTTCAGGGCCTGATACTGATACCTGATTGTTCCGCGATGTGGCTCAAATACCCCTCCTGGTTGGTGAATGCATTCAATGTCGATCCTTTGTATTTGAAGCACGAACAGCAAGGATCAGCGCCTGATTACAGGCATTGGCAGATACCATTAGGTAGGAGATTCAGAGCGCTGAAGTTGTGGTTTGTGTTGAGGTTATATGGTATCGAAAATTTACAAAAGTTCATCAGAAAACACGTAGACTTGGCGCATTACTTCGAGAATTTAGTAAGATCAGATGAAAGATTCGAAATTACGGAAGAGGTGGTGTTAGGTTTGGTCTGCTTCAGACTTAAAGGCGATAACGCAACCAACGAAGGCCTATTGAAAAGGTTAAACGGTAGAGGAGTAATCCATTTAGTTCCTTCAAAGATCGGGGATACCTACTTCTTGCGTTTGGCGATATGTTCCCGATTTACTGAGGAATCAGACATCGACATATCCTGGAAGGAAGTTAAAGAAACTGCCGACGAAGTCCTAGCCCAAAAATAAAAAATAAATAATAACTTATTAAAGCGATGTAATGACAAAAGTATTATTAATGTGCAACAAGTAATTTATGTTAGATTTAGATTAAATTATTGTAAATACAAATGACCAATAATATAAATGTTAATAAATAGAGAAGCATTAAATTGTGTTTTATTATACTTTAATCAAAAACTATAACAGCACAATATTAGGAGCATTTGGGAGGTGGCCCGCCAAACTTCTTAGTCAGCTGCAATATTCTTTCAGCTTCTCTTATTCCGCTTAAACGAGCACCGTGGACTGTACCGTGGTAACCGGCTATTGCAGCTTCGCCAGCGAACAATAAAATGGGCGGAATGGGCTCGCAAGTGCCGGGTACAGGCATGCTGAGGTCACATTGGTGTCCTATGTGCGACTGCACTTTGATATAGCTTTTAGAACCGCAGAAATAAGGATCTGCGACCCATTTTGATCTTAGTACTGAATTGGGGTATGGTAGAGTGGCATCTCCGGTGAATTGACGTAGTAATCTTGTTATATCCCTGGCTACTTCTTCATCGGTTGCATGCTCCATTACTGAAGCCTCAGGGCCTGATATGGATACCTCAAGAACGTGCTTACTTGCCGGCACTTCAGTTATTTTACTTATGCCTCTAGTCCAGTCAGTTCGTTTACTTAGCTCATCCGCAGACCAGGCTAGGTTAATAGTACCTTCAGACCAAACCCAGAACGGTCTATCATAATCAAGGAATACTTTATCGATGTGAGCGTAACCTAGGCTCTTAATTGCGTCCATTTTAGTGGAGGGTAAGGCGGGGCAGAACAGTTTATCGCCATGCTCTTTTAGGACCCCCAAAGACATCGTCACAATAACGTAGTCAGCGCAAAATTCCTCCCCGTCGCAACACTGAACGATAGCCCTAGGCCCCTTAGCTTTCTCCTGCACTGTACCCCACCTTATTAGTCCTACAGGTTTATTGTATCTTAGCGTACATTCAGGCAGTTTTCTTAGTAGTGGTCCAAGAATACTTATAAAACCTATAGGTATTGTTGTTTTGCCCCCAGGGATAGATATTGAAGAACCAAAATTATCAGCGCTTATAGAGGTGAGATCGTCACCTAAGTCGCTACGAATCGCATTTATTTGTCCATAGAATACTCGGGACGCATCGTAACGCATGTCCTCAGGAAACTTTTGAATTTCTTGTTGAACTCTCATAGCTAAAACACAATACAATAAATTGTTATTGTGAAAGAAGCAGATGATATTACTTAAAAAGTGTTGCAAAGATCCATGCTGTTTATTACAGCCCATACTAAAGAGATTACTGGCTTCCCTTAAAATACCACTAAAGACGTAGTTAACCATATTGACGACACTATTTTCAATCGCCCTTCCATCGCTGGTGCAAAACAGCCCTCCTGCTTCCTGCAACTTTTGAATCGGATGCTTGACGAGGCCCTCTTGTGCAGCCAGGTTGAACACAGGATTTACCGCGCAGGGCCCTTCAATGACGCCGCAACCGAGCTCCGCTATCACGTCCCCCAGCCAGCAGGAGTGTATGCGTCCGCCCGGCCTGCAGGAATTACTGTTGCAGCAGGAATACGTATTGTTGGTTGCATACTACCTGTCAGTTGCTTCGAGGATTGTGAAGTTCGTGATTCCGCAGGTGGCGAGTCGTTCTGCCGCCGATAATCCTGCAATTCCTGCTCCTATTATTACAATGCTCGGCTCTGGTTTGCAGGGGTCCACCATGCAGTCCTGTATGGTGCATTCCGTTACTGCTGTGGCAGGATCCTGCTTGCATTTTATTTTGTCTGCTTTCGATACGAATGTTCTTAGTATTTCTTGGAGTAGTTTTCTACAACAGTTTGTTTATAAAATGAAATATTTTGGTGTAGGACTCACCGATTATGTTTTATATGATTCAAAAACCCTACACCCGTAGGGATTTTTAAACAGTATATCATAGTTTACTGGAATTTTGATAATTTTGGCCTAAAATTTGAATGGAAAATCATGAATTGTCATTTTATGACATAATGACAAATATTTTTATTATACAGGTCGTTTTATAAAAGGGCAAATAATTTGATAAAGAATAATTTAGTAATTTAACATATACACAGCAAAAAATATGCTGTAAATTTTCTAGAGTACCTGGTAAAAATATTAGAGTTAAAATCCAATCTTATCTATTTTTTATCTAGGTAACCCTTTTTAACTTTAGATTAAATATTTTTTACACTATTTAGTCACAATGTAACTCTATTTCTATTATAAAAACATTTACAAAATTAGAGTAGATATTTTCAATAAATCAATTAAATTATAACTTTTGTAGAGTTATTTTTAAATCTGGTGCATGGTTCAGTTTTATCTAAATAGGTATCTTTAATAAATTCTTATTAGTGCATATTTTAACTCTAAAATGTGTAGATTTAACTCTATTTAGTGTGATTGGCTCACACGGGGTGTTTCTATTTCCATTCTACTAGAGTGCATTTGTTTATTGTTTCATTTGAATTTGCCAGTGTGATAGTGATTTGGTGTGCATTATTAATTAGTATTAGTAAGTACATTATTATAATAATTATTGTTGTTTTATTTATGTTTTTAAGGTTAATAATTGATGTGTATAGGAATTTAAGAAGTTTTAAGATTGTTTTATTTATGTCTTTGCAACGTGTTAACTATACAATTATTGTATAGTTAACACGTTGCAAAGACATAAATAAAACAATCTTAAAACTTCTTAAATTCCTATACACATCCTATATTATAAAATTATCATGCTCTATAGTATATAATATATTATATATAATATATAATACATTTTTTATAAATTTAATAATTTGTTTGTATACCCTTTCCCATTAAAAACACGATATAGTGTAAATTAAAAATTATTTACACTAAATATATTTAAATATTATAATGAATCATTTAATCTATTTTTTGTTATTATCTTATTATCATAGAGTGGATTTCACTAAAATGTGTAAATTTGTCTCTAGATTAGTAAACATTTTAAGTTACTTAGACGAATTTAGTGCTAAATTAACCATTTTTAAGTGTTAAAATAAATATTTAACAAGATGTTAAATAACACGATTTGGAGTAATTTTAACACTGCGATGGTTATTAAAAATAGCACAATTTTTAGTAAAATTTACACTACTGTTGGTGTAAATATCCAACTCTAAATAAGTTGGTCGTATATACCACCTAATTAGTGAACTTTAGAGTTTAATATTTACTCTATTTTTTTACTTTGTACTCGCATTTGAATAAAATATTTAAAATCCTTGCAAAAAATCGTAAAAAATGAATGGTTGCAACCCATACTTTGCTCCAAAAATAACGAAGTTGGAACATAAAAACAAAAGAACATCATGGTCTTACTTTTTGAGTGAGGTATGCCTTCCGACCACTCATTCTTTATGATTTTTTATAAAGAATTCTAACAAAAAACACTAGTGTAACTTTAAATACTTTATTGTTGCATATGGACTCACAGAAAAACTACACTTCATCATTTAGCAAATTGCTTTAGCTGCTATGGGTGGTCCGGCCATTTTCTTGGTCAGCTGCATAATTCTATCAGCTTCGCGGATGCCGCTTAACCTCGCTCCATGCAGGGTCCCGTAATGTCCAGGTATGGTTGCTTCCCCAGCAAAAAGTAGAACTGGACACTCCTCGCTGTGCATATCAGGGATTGGGCTTCCTAAATCGGTTTGGTGTCCAATGTGCGAGTTGAGTTTAATGTAGCTATTGGCGCCGCAGAAGTATCTATGCGATGACCAGGTAGAGCGTAATATGGCGGTTGGGTATGGTACGGTGGGATCACCTGTGAATTGCCTTAATAGTTTTGTTATTCTTTTTACTACTTCTTCATCGGTTGCTTCCTCCATTAATTCTGCGTCTTCACCGGCTATGGTGACTTGTAGGTATTTATCTGAATTTGGTAGCTCTTCGATACAGCTCACACTCTTTGCCCAGTTGCTCTGATCTCGTAACTCATCATGGGACCAGGCTAAATTAATATTTCCGCCACCACGTACCCAAAACGGTGGGTTATACTTTAAAAAAATCCTGTTTATATGCCCAAAACCTAATTTATTAATGGCTTCAAGCTTACATTGCGGTAATTTAGGGCAAAACATGGTATTAGCTTTATCTTTTAGAACACCTAGCGGTACTGTTACTATGACATAGTCAGCTCCATAACATTCACCATCACAGCATTGTACTAAAACTCTAGGACCCTTTGTTTTGATTAAATCAGCTCCCCATTTGATTATACCAACAGGTTTCCTATATTTAATGCATTTCTCTGGTAAATTTTTTAGTAGTGGTGTCAAGACGTGTACGAGACCATCAGGAAGAATGCAATTACCACCTGGTATGAATACCTTACTTCCATAGTTATCAGCGCTCACTTTTGACAAATCTTCACCAACACTTGAGGTTAGACAGTTCAATAACCCATAGAAGGTTCTATGGACGTCATATCGGAAATTCTCTGGGAATTTTTGTATTTCTTGATCAATTCTCAAAGCTAAAAATAGACTTTAGCAAAAACTTAATATTATGATTACCAAACTAACTCAAAAAATCCTTTAAAGACCCATAGTCCTTCCCACAATTCATACTAAACACCTTACCAGCTTCTAGCTGTATAGGCAAAAACGCCCTGTAGACCATATTAGCAAGGCAGTCTTCAATAGCCTTACCATCGCTGGTTAAAACCAAACTCGTGCTACCATTTCTTTGTGTTTTCAAACCTTCTCGAGCAGCCAAATTATACACAGAGTTAATTGTTGAAGCTCCAGTTATTTGAGAGCAACCTAACTCTGTGATGACGTTGTCCATCCAACATGAGTGTATACGACCTCCAGGGCTAAATATAAATGGTGTGGTATTTTTTGGAAGAACTTTAGGTTATATTACCGTTCTGTAGCTTCTAGGATAGTAAAGTTAGTCAAATCACAAGCTGCTAATCTTTCGGCCGCCGAAAGACCTGCCATTCCAGCCCCTATTATGATAATACTAGGTTTGTGGATACACGTGCTTAATATGCAATCTATTAGTTTGCCATCTTTTGGCCCGACATCCTTTTTTTCCTCCTTTGTTTCATCTTTGCAGTCTTTTTTAAGGGTTAGGGATCTTATAGCGTTTCTTAATAGTTTGAGTTGTTTGAAATGTTTTGTATTTAAAGTTATTTTTAGTGTGTTAAACATTTTATTTTACTGATGATTTTGAATACTGATTGATTGAGAGTAATGTCAAATACTAGGGTTATGCATTGTTTATTGCTAATAATACATTATACAGTGCATGCAAATCCAAGTCCGACCGCGTTGGGAAGGATGGTTGTTCAATACCCACGTGAAAAGAATAAGGATAGAATGCCAAACAGAATTTGATTGGTCAGAGCGTCAGGCGTGCGTATTGTAAGCGCCTTCTGTTTGGCGTTCTATCCTTGTTATTTTCACGCGTCCTTCCCAAACCGGTCGGACTTGGAATTGCAAGCACTGTATGCTAATAATAAAATGGTATATTTATTGTTTATAATACAGGTAAAAATGATGTTTTAATAATGCTATCCCTTTATTCTCTCCACATCCAATATTAAGTTCAGTGTGGACACAATTTCATTCCAAGCGTACTTAATGTCTTCTTTCTGTGTAAAAGGGCTACAAATTACAAATCTAATCAACATTCGGTCTTCGTGTGTGTAAGGAGTCAAAAATAGGTTTCTTCTTTCGCTGATTTTTTCTAGCAATTTTCGGGTTACGCTGTCATCTCCCATAACTCTAAAACAGACCAAACCCATAACAGAATTGAGAACTTCAAACCTATCGTCGACTTTGAGTAACTCTGTAAAATACTCAGCGAGCGAACATTGATCCCTTATGTGCTTTCTTAATCCTTGTACACCATAAGTCCTCAGAACAAACCATAACTTTAAAGCTCTGAATCGTCTAATGTTCGGAATCTGCCAATTTTCTATATCGATGCCGTACACTTCTTTGTGGGGTTGTATTTCAGTTTCAGGCATACTTTTTTGAACTCTATAAGCTTCGGAAAATTCACTTGTATCTCTGAACCACATCGCTGAGCAGTCGGAGTTCACCAGCATCCATTTGTGGGGGTTAAAACTAAATGTGTCGACATAATCCACGCCTTTCATGTAGTGTCGATATTCTGGACATACGAATGCGGCTCCCGCGTATGCGGCATCTACGTGGAGAAATATATTTTCCCTCCGACAAATTAAACCGATTTCTTCTAAATTATCGAAGGAACATGTGCCTGTTGTACCGAGAGTGGCTACAACACAACACGGTATAAAACCCTGCTCTCTATCTTTCCTTATTGCTTCCTCGAGAGTGTGACCTCTTAGTCTATTGTGTTTATCCGTGGCTAATAATCTCATTGGTGCTGAAGCGAGTAAACCAGCCTTTTCCACCGAGCAATTTGAGTGCAGAGAAGTGTAAGTGACGAGTTTGGATTTTATTTCAGCTTCGGATCTGTGAGGGTTTAAAATTTGTTCGTTTTTGACTGATCTTGCCATTCCAGAGAGGACAGCTACTAAAGTGGATTCACTTGCGGCGTTCTAAAAGAAGTTATGTTATTTTGAATCATAATTTGTTTTATTACGTTGTAAACCTGTATAACACCGCCACCAGGTCCTTCAGAACTGTTTAGGAATTCTTTTGGGAGGTCTAGAAGTTTTGCCAGCCAGTCCATCATTTTTACTTCTAATTCCACGCATGCTGGGTTTGATATCTATTGAAATAAACATTTTATATAAAAACAATAAAGTATATAATTTTTTTACCCAGTCTTTTGCTACAGCTCCCAACCCTGCACACATCAGCTCTCCCACGATTCCAGGGTATGAGTTGGATGTGGGGAAAAAAGCATGGAAATTAGGAGATTGCCAATGGCTTAAGCCAGGTACTATAAGTTGATCGACATCCCTCATAACATCTTGCCATGGGTCGCCATTTATTGGCGTAGATTTTGTTAACTTATTCTGCAGAAATCCTGGTTTCTTCGATGAGATTACCTTTCTAAAATTATATTATAGTATTGTGGTAATTCTAAAAAATTATAAATCTTATAAATATGACAATTAACAAAGCCACAAATAAAAAGGCATGACCAATGAAATATATGCAGTTAAATGTGGCATTGGAAGTGAACTTAACCTTCATAACATCCAATAACTCAAGAAACTGAAGAGAATGTGAACAAATTGACAATTGGTTTAATTTTTTCGCGTTTTGAAAATTACTGTTATATTAATGAAAGTCAAAGACTAAAATAACGAAGGCCGATATTAATAATTTATGATAATTTGTATTAATTATTAGCTTATATAAGATATGTATCATTAACAATCACTTACTTGTCTCTAATATTGTCCAAATAATCAGCGATATAATCCACGGCGGATTTGCCGAACTCACGGAACTCACTTGTGTTCATTTTGAAGATTCTTCGTCTTCTAAAATTTTATCAGAAACGCATATTAAGTAACAGCTTTCTCCCAACGATGTGTCATAATTACCAAATTATGAAAATAAATTAATTTAATTTGAGATTTTACTTTATTACCTAGATTAAAATTTTATTGTAGTAATGATCTATATACTTTTTAATACCATATTAAATTATATAGGCAGATTATAAAATAGCAGTATTATGTTTTTAGAGCTTATCTAAATTCCTATTACAAACACTTTTTGGATAGTATAAATTTGTAGGACAATAGTTTTTTTTACATAATTGATATCTTGATATTATTTTGAATTTAGCTAAATGGTTTGTACAAATACAAATATATTTTTTTAAAGATAGGTACAGTTGCTCCTTTACATAAAAAAAATGTTGCTATTTGATTAGGTAAAAACATACCGGGTGTTACATTTAAAATAAAAAGGTTATTAAGGTTTCAAGTTAGACCAATTTGTCCTAGGTTTTCCCGGGTAATTTGTTAAAAAATGTTAAAGAATTGACATAGAACCTTTTAAACAATGTTTTAAGATTCCAAAAATCGCCCCCCCCCATATCCGCAAACCTAATAGCAAAAAATGTATAGGCTATTTTTGATTAAAGCGTATTTGTCAAATTTTGACGAAAAAATCTCGAAAACTATTCAATTTAGGGATAGGACGTGATATAGCAATTTTACTCAGAATTTTATGTAGAATTTAAAAATGTAACAAATTCCTAATTACAAACACTTTTTGGATAGTATAAATTTGTAGGACAATAGTTTTTTTTTACATAATTGATATCTTGATATTATTTTGAATTTAGCTGAATGGTTTGTACAAATACAAATATATTTTTTTAAAGATAGGTACAGTTGCTCCTTTACATAAAAAAAATGTTGCTATTTGATTAGGTAAAAACATACCGGGTGTTACATTTAAAATAAAAAGGTTATTAAGGTTTCAAGTTAGACCAATTTGTCCTAGGTTTTCCCGGGTAATTTGTTAAAAAATGTTAAAGAATTGACATAGAATCTTTTAAACAATGTTTTAAGATTCCAAAAATCGCCCCCCCATATCCGCAAACCTAATAGCAAAAAATGTATAGGCTATTTTTGATTAAAGCGTATTTGTCAAATTTTGACGAAAAAATCTCGAAAACTATTCAAATTAGGTATAGGACGTGATATAGCAATTTTACTCAGAATTTTATGTAGAATTTAAACATGTAACAAATTTTGACGAAAAAAACTCGAAAACTATTCACTTTAGGTATAGGACATGGTATAGTGAATATATGGGGTGTTCTATTTGAAACAACCAAGTTGATGCCACTTCCGTTCAAACCGGAAGTGGCATTTTGAAGAAAATATTTTAGAAAATTGACTTAAATGGATTATAAACTCTTTAAAAATTTCAAATCGATATCTTTTTCTCTTCCACAGAAACTTGCAATGGACGGTCCATTATGGACCACAAACACACTGTATATCAAGTGGTGTTTTTCAGGTTGTGATACCACTATAGATTCTAAAGCAATGTATAATCGTCAAACTAACAAGATTTGTTTCCAACATATATTGGATATAAGATAAATACAAATCGGTTGTTTAAAAAAATCTAGAAGTAAAAACAGAAATAATTTTGTTTTAATTTAAAAAAAATTAAATTATTATTTTCTTTGAGTATAATTTTTGTATTATGTAAAAACAAATAATATTTAAAGAAAAACAATGATTTATAACAAAATAGAGAATTAAAAATTTGTATAGGTTAAAATACGTATCTAATAAGATTTCGCTGTATACAAAATTTAAATGACGTGATTTCTTGAAACGGTGAGACACAGTTACTTTTTTTTAACCTTTATTTTTAAAATTTGTTAAAATTTTTTATAGGTGAAAAATTGTATTGAACTGTGTTATCAAAAGTGTCGGTGATTTAATTTTTTTCGAAATGTGATACTATGGGGATATTTTTAATAAAAGTAAAGTTTATACTAATATAAAATTTATTATAGTACATTTATTTTACCAAATCACCACTACACGCGAAAAGCACGTTTTGAGATATTATTGGAAATAAGTTTATTTTCATTTTTCATTTTATTCTTATTTTTTACCAAACCCGATTTTTTTTTCTGCCTACGCGGCTTCTAATATTTATTTATTAAGGTGAGTTGATAAAATAAATTGACTGTAGATAATCTTACAATAAATAAATCCTAGCTAAACTACATCTAAATTTTTACACTCTTAACACTACTTTGATTTTTCTGTATGATTTGCCATCTTTGTTAATTCAGCCGATAGAATTTTTTTGCCGGTAACCTCGCACGTTATTTTAGCTTTAGATGAAACAATTTGTTCTGTAGCAGCCAAAAATTCTTTCCAAGCATACTCCACATCTTCTCTTTGGGTTAAACGGCTGCATATTGCAAAACGTATGCATTCTTTTCCGTTGAAATGGCCGGCAATTACGAATATGTTTCTTCGCTCGCTTACAACGTGTAATAGTTTTTCTGTAAGGTGGTCGTCACCTTTAAGTCTGAAACAAACCAAACCCATACTGGACGTGCACAGTTCAAAACGCTCATCTTTAACGACAAATTCTTCGAAATATTTGGCTAAGGATATCTGGTCCCTGACGTGCTTCCTCAACCCTTCAACCCCGTAGATTCTGAGCACGAACCACAGCTTTAACGCTCTAAACCTGCGACCTAAGGAAATTTGCCAGTGGCGATATTCTGGGGCCAACCCCTTGTGTTTATCCTTAAGATAGATCCTTTCGACGTTGAAGGCTTCAACTAGGTACTTGGCATTCTTAACCCACATAGCGGAGCAATCGAAGTTCACCAACATCCACTTGTGAGGGTTGAAGTTGAACGACTCGGCCAACTCAACCCCTTTCATGTAATGCTGATACTCGGGGCATATGAAAGCTGTCCCAGCATAGGCAGCATCCACATGCAACCAAACGTTTTCTTTGTTGCAAACTTCACCGAGCTCCGTCAAATCGTCAAAAGCACACGTCGGGGTTGTACCCAAGTTCGCAACCACGTAGCAAGGTATCAAGCCTTTGGCTTTGTCCTCCTGGAAGGCTTTCTGAAGGGTATCCCCGCGTAGCTTACCGTCCTTGTCCGCCTTTAGCAGGCTCATAGGCATGGATCCCAGCAGTCCGGACTTCTCAACCGAAGAGTTCGATTGGTCGGAGGAGTAAGCCACGAGTTTGGCCTTGATTTCGCCCTCTGTAAGCGGCGAGTTCGCTTCCAGTAGATCCTTAACCATTTTTTCCTTAGCTGCCAATAGAGCGATGAATGTGACTTCGCTAGCGGATCCCTGCAATTATTTATTGTTATTTTATTGCGATAAAGCTTAATAACGAGCCGCGTCGAGATAATTTGTCGATTTACAAGCATGTAATGTTTCTTATTTACATAATAATCGCATTAAATGAATGTTAAGCATGAATACTTTCTAATAAATGTGTCTAGTCATTGTTATTTAATCTGCGATTGATTTCAAATTAGGTTTTTATTGAAAATATTTAATTTTTTAGCCGGTTACCTGAATTACGCCTCCACCGACTCCTTCCGAGCAGTTTAGAAACTCTTCTGGAAGATTCAGGAGCTTCCCCAACCAGTTCATCATAACGACTTCCAGTTCTGTGTAGGCCGGACTGGCAACCTATAAGTACAGAAAAAAATAAATAAATCGGCCTTTTGTCAAACCTCCAAATATAAGGTAATGTAGAAGTGCCTTATTTACACATCAAAACTAAAAAAATTGTTTCTTGCTTTAAATAGTTTAACTAGATACTTGTCTTAGTCAAAATCTCTGCGTTTTGTATAAAAAAAGTATAAAAAAATATTTGGCGCATCATAAAAATAAAATATTCTCATGCATAGCAAACTTAATTTGACTTTCACACGGCTCACTTGGCAATCAGCTGATAATTTTATTACATCATTTAAAAATCTTTAAATTGCCTTTCGTGATTAAACGTTCATCAGGAAAGACCAATAATTATAATTGTTGATAATTCCATGTGAAGTTTATTAACACTTTCACCTTTATGGATAGAATTATTTTCGGTTACCTTATGATTATAAAATGTCTTGCATAATTATTTTATAATAGTGTTAGGTAAAATCAATTTTTTTTTGTGTGAGGGTGATAAAAATGTTGCGCAAGGAATATTTAATTTTAATATTTTATAAGATTGATCGATGGAAATTTTTTTGTTATTAGTTTTTTCCATAGGGTTCTATTAATAAAATTAGTTGTTTACTTCAAGCATTTATTTTTGCCAACTATTAAACAAAATATAATAATTACATTTTTATTGTAAAATTTGATTTTCAAAAAATCGTTTTTGCAAAAAGAACTTAAATTTTTTGTAAAACATAGTTTTATATTAGATTTCAAATATAAATTGTTATATATTTATGGTAAAAAATATGTAAAAATAGGTTTTATAAAAAAACCGTTTTTATGAATAATAATACTAAAGTTATAAAGTTATTATTTTAGTCCTGAAATAGTATGTATAGGTATTATTTTTTCTACGACCACCATGTAAAATTCACATTTCGTAATGGCATTGTTGCTTAGAAAATGAATCTTTTCATTGGCAAGGCAAAACACAAAATTGACAGCATCGTTTGACATTCGTTTCAAAATTTGTATTGTATTTGTATATGTTTGTCTAAATATCATTTAGAACACAGTTAATTGTGTTTGTATAGGTACTAAATTCTAATTTTTAGTGCCTTTATTTAAATTGAAAACAACAAGTTTATTGATTTTAAGTAACTTATACCTTAAAAATGAAAAGAATAAGATGAGTAATTTTAACAGCTGTCAAACACGTTTTAAGGATATTTTGTTTTGTATTTGAAAATAATAAAAAATAAAAGGTTCGTAGAAAAAATATTGTGTTACACATGTGAGAAAAGCTTTCTTCAAGCTCGTGTTAATGCACACTCGGCCTGACGGCCTCGTGAGCAACTTAAACACTTGAACACATGAAAAAGTCGCTTTTCAACACTAACAATAACTAATTTCTACTAGTACATTATTTGGTTTTTTGTATATACCAAAGTTATCTGCTTACCATCGCTAACTCCGTTATTATTGGAGATAGAATGCTGTTTAAATTATCAAATTTGTGGAACTTTTTTTCTTGATTAAAATGGTAAAAATAGAAAAACAATTGAATGACAGGTTTTCGAAATATTCACAAAAATAGCATTTTTTTAAATGGGACACCCTGTATATTTTTATAAATACAATACTATAATTTATTTTGCGTTCATAATGACTTCTTTATAACACCGCTTTCGGTGCTGGAATGAGATACTTTATCCCACCCAAAATTTTGATTTTATAGGTTGGCTATACTTTAAACAGCATACAAATAAAATAATATTTTGCATATTGGTTATAATATTTTTATGATTTTTCTAGTCCTTACGAGACTTTTCTGGCAATAAATTTTGTTTGACACCAAAGAAAATCCTTTTTTTTTCTTTAACATTTACAGCCGCTTATTTTAAATAAGTAAATTAAGGACGCCATGGCGAATCGATTATGACATTAACTGTCAAACCAATGACTGTGATACCAACTATCTAAAGTAAAATTCGACCAAATTAAATTTATGGTATATAATTAATTTTTTTTATAGAATTTTTGCAAAATAGATAAAATAGCATAAAGAGCTTCCTCCTTCGTCGCACGTTTTATAAATTGTCCGCGTGCGACAAAATGACGTCTTATGACATTAGTTCTTTAATATACTATTATTTACTCCAATTGTATAATATTGGAATTTTTTCATATATTATAAAATTATAATCGATGCGCCTAACAACGTGAATAATGAACCCATTATTCACGTTGTTGGCCGATTTCAATATTCACTGTGATTTGAACCAATGGGTTTTAAATTGAAAAAGTGAGGTTGGAACTGACTAACAAATGTCAGATTTTTTTATATATGCTAGGGGCGACTAGCGAGGTTATAACCTCGCTAGTCGCCCCTAGCATATATAAAAAAATCTGACATTTGTTAGTCAGTTCCAACCTCTAGAACCTATAGAACTGTCTGACAGTTTTTATGATAGTATACGAGGGGTGGCTATAACGATCTTTAAAATTGAGAGAAAGTAAGGTTAGATCCGAGGGGTCAACCTCACAAAGTGAAAACGTCCAGGAATCCCATGTATTCTCAATTGGACTAAGGTTTTTAACTTCTGTCAAAAAAAGTTCGGGATATTTTTGTAAATTTATTTAGAAGAAAAATGACACAATCAACTATAAATAAGTAACGTACAATTTACAATACAAAATGTCCCTTTTTAAAGAAGTATTCTTAGGTTATTCCCGAGGGAATCCCAGATGTGGTTGACCCCTTGGTTAGATCTGTACGACAGATTTTTGGTATTATCTTTGAGCACTAGTAAAAGTAATTACATTAATAAACATTCTGTGGAATGTCAAAAAGGTTCATTCTATTGACATTTATTTTTTAGGATATTAAGATTATAGTATTATTATGTCTCAAATAGTTTTAGGATTTCTACAAATTTCTCATTTTTATTGATTTTTTATAATAATATTATATACATTGATAATTAAATTTTGACTATTAATTAATGTTTAAATATTTATTTAGGATTTTATTTTAATCCTATTTTACTTTTAATGTATACATATATTCCTACAATTTCAAGATTTCTTTATTTTTCTTGGTTTTACAAATGAAGGGGTAAGAAGCAAAAGGGTACAAGTGCAAAACAGAGAAGTAGAGTTATTCACTTTTAAAGTTTTTGCTAAATACAAAAATCTGGATACTTGTTTCAATATTATCGTTTGCATGAATCAACATGCATTTTTAACAAAATTTTGCACTTTTTTCATGCTAAACCCTTACACCCTTTTGCTTCTTACACCTTTGAATATAATATTACAATTATATGTATCTATTAAATGTTTTTTAAGGTTTTTAATTTATCTTCATTAATTTCGCAGGATTATTTTCGACAGTAAAATTCTTTCTTACCCAGCTCAGTCCAATGCATCCAAACCCTGCGCTCATCATCTCTCCGACGACAGCAGGAAAGGAGTGTGCCGTGGGATAATAAGCATGGAAATTGGGGGAGTGCCAGTGCGTAATTCCGGGCATAATAATCTGGTCGACATCCTGCATCACGTCCTGCCAGGACTCGCCATGTTCGGGAGCTTCGTCGGGCAGCAGGTCCTCTAAATATCCCGGTTTTACTGAAGGTAGTACCGGCCTAAAGAATAAAACATATTATGTTTTTATAATTGTATATATATTTTTTCATAATTCATAATGGTTAAATGAATTAAATGTTTATGATATACAGGGTGAGTTTTAAGTTGACGCGTTGCTTTTAACAGCGTGTAGAAGTCAGATAGACAAATAAAAATTTTAAGTAACTTTTTTATCAAAACTCAAAAATAAGCGAGTTATAGCCCTTCAAAGTTTAATTAAATTTTGAGCCGGTCCTGGCTATTTTTAACAAAAAACATAACCATAAAAATAAAAATAACAAAATAAACAATGCAAAATGCCATCTATGACAACAAACATAACCATTTAAATCAAAATGACATTTAGCAATGAAAAATGTCATTATTTACTTAAGTTTTTTTTTGGGCCGCAATTATTGTTAAAAATGTGTCATTTTGGTTTAAATGGTTATATTTGTTGTCATAGATGACATTTTGCATTGTTTATTTTGTTAATTTTATTTTTATGGTTATGTTTTTTGTTAAAAATAGCCAGGACCGGCTCAAAATTTAATTAAATTTTGAAGGGCTATAACAATCTTATTTTTGAGTTTTGATAAAAAAGTTACTTAAAATATTCATTTGTCTATCTGATTTCTACACGCTATTAAAAGGAACGCGTCAACTTAAAACTCACCCTGTATAATATATAAATATTTCTTAAAATCTCCATTTTTTTTTATTTTATAAAAGTTACCTACTATTTCTATTTTTTAGTTTTGTTTTAATTTTTTCATGATTTTTAGGGTTTTAAAATATCCAGAAATATTGAGCTGGCGGAAACAATTGGGAAATTTTCAGAAAAATTAACTTTAGCATTTTTTTCAATTTATTCTAAGGGTAGATACTATAAAAAAATGCAAAAGTCAATTTTTCTGAAAATTTCCAAATTTTTACATATAATATCTGTTCACATCTTGAAAAATAGTGAATTTCTTTTTTTTGTAAGAATATTCCACCAGGCCGCAAAAAAAACATTTTTGGTGCTGTATTAACATAACTATCGTTTTATTTGACACATTGATTTATAAAATTATAATTTTACTTTATAAATCATTCATTATTTTGTAAATAGATATTTTTAATAGACTCCCTTTTGCAAAAAGGACCCAACCGACAGTTACGTTTACGTATATGTATAATCAATTAAATTCAATTTAATATTCAGTTTTATTGTTTTTGTTTATGTAATAAAAGATTTATAAAGTAAATTAAAATAATGTTAAGTTGTTGATTGCTACTGTTATTAAAATGTATATATTTAAAAAAAGACATTTTATTAAAGGCCTGGGAAAAAAATAAAAAACAGGCCTTTCCCCCAATCTATTCGGTTTTTTAGACACTTTAAAACCCTACTCATAATATTTTAATAATATATCGGACTTCTCTAAAATTACAGGTATCTATAATATAATAATAAAATAGATTTGTTAATAATTTATTTAATAATACAATTTCCATCACTTGGCATAATAATACTATAATTTTTATTTTTTTATGATAAATCAACATTTTTTTTCAATGCTGCCTTTTATAATACTTTATTTTTTCGATTTAATAAATTTTGATGTTTTACAAAATTTACAAAAATGTATTTTTTTTTAAATCTTAGTTTATCAAATTTTTGGTTTTAAAAAATGTATATATTTGTTACTATAAAATTTGCATAATAATTTTTTTATAATATGGTATTTTTTAATTTTTGTATTTTTATATTCATAATTTTTGATGTTATTAAGTTTTTTACGATCACAATTTTGTAATTTAATATTTTTATTGTTTGTTTTTAATTTTTTTATGGTTTTTTGTAAAATATACATAGGTACACATTTTAAAAAAGTAGCAATTAACTACAACTAAAAATTTCCTTTATTACAGGAAAAAAATATAACTAAATATTGAATTAAATTAAATTGATTTAAGAAAATAAACCAAATCGTTAAATATATATGAGGACCCTAGAAGCCAAGGGATACAAGTGACATTTAAAAAAAATGTAGTTATGTACAAAAAAGATAGTAAATGGTACATTTTACTTGGTATCCAAGGGATATAACTGAATTCTAAGCTTTTGACTACAAATTACAAGTATTATTTTTTTATTTTAAAAATGATTATCTCAAAACTTAACAAAATATACTTGGTTGGGTCTTTTTTGCAAAAAGGAGTACATTTTAAATATACAATTACAAAATAATGAATGATTTATAAAGTTAAATTACAAAATAATAATTTTATAAATCGAAGTGTCAAATAAAACGAAAATTTGTATACTAATACAGCACAGAATATGTGTTTTTTGCGGCCCGGTATAATATTCTTACTGAATTAAAATAAAAGGAATAATTATTTTGTGTTGGTAATACGAATTTTGTATAAACTGAAAAAAATGCAAAAGTCAATTTTTCTAAAAATTTCCCAATTTTTACGTGTTTTTTCGGAAAAAAAATGTTTTTTCCGCCGGCTCAATTTTTCCTGAAATTTTGTAATTTTTTGGTATGTTTTGTTAAGGTAAAATATATTTTAATTCAATCATATAAAAATATTATTTTTTAAGTTTTTTATGGGTTTATTTATTAGGTGTAATAATATTTATTTTTTTAATATGAAATATTTTTATGATGCATAATTTTTTCAATACTGTCATTAATTAATATTTTTTTGTTTTCTATTAATTTAGTAAATCCTTCCATATTTTTCATGATTTATTTTTTGTTTTTTATTATATACTATACTATACTTGTTAACCCTTTCTAATGCATTTTTTTTATTCTTGAACTTATTTTAATTTTTAAAAATTTATTTTTTATACATGCATTTTTTATCTTATTTAAACCCCAAAGTAGGTACATCTTTAAATTTTGTATTCAAAAGAAATAAATAAAACAATTATGGAAATAGTTGTTGATTGTAGGTAGACTAGAATGATTGTTTATCATTAAAAACAACTTTTTTAAATAAATAAATTACTACATACAAAAAATAAATGCAATACTTAAAAAATAAAATTTCACCTGTCTTTAATGTTATCAAAATAATCAGCTATATAGTCCACAGCCGCCTTCCCGAATTCCCTAAACTGCTGAGAATCCATGATACTTTTTCGAAAAAACTTCCAAAATCAACAATAAATCACTTTCACAATCACCACATACGATTCTCCCAATATAAATCAAACCACTATTACCGAAATCAACGAATTCGTGAATCGACGAATATTTGAAAGATCGAAGGAGATTGGCTATTAGCGGTGGTGGTAGGATGGTACCCACTGGGTAAGTGGCGGTAATGAATGGTATTCTTTTTATATACTTATAGCAGAATTGAAGCGTACGCAGGTAAGCGCTAAATTTGCCCTTCGCGATTTATTCAAGCAGAACGGAGAATCCCTCGATATTTTTGTCAACAATTTTATACAATTACTTTAATTCCTTGTTCAGTTTTTTGTTTATTTAAGAGGTTTACGAAATAATCTACTCTCTAAATTTACTTGTGTTGTGTTCATCTCAAAGAATCTTCAGGTTCTAAAATTTTACCAGAAACGTTTATTAAGTAACAGCTTTCTCCCAGCTTGACTTGTGTCATAATTACCGAATTATGAAAATCAACGAAAGTAATTTTAATTTTACTACACTGAGATAAATATATTTTAAATTGTTATTCTGGGAATTGGTACTGAGTACTTTCAAGCTCTGTAACTTAACGATATTGAAAAATTTGGAACACAGTTCAAAACGTTCGCCTTTAGAGACAAGTTTTTCCAAATTTTTGGCTAAAGATATCTGGTGTCTTATGGGTTTACTTATCCCTTCAACTCCGGCAAACCACAACTTTAAAGATTTAAATCTTTGACCTATAAAAGTTGCCTGTTGCAATACTCGAGAGACAAAGCATTGTACGCTCTAAAAATAAATTAGTCAAAAATGACTAATTTAATAGTTATTAGTGGCTGCTTTTTCACTTGTACCATGGTTAACTATGGAATACCGTGGTATTCCAAAATTTAACAGCCAATTATTATGTAAAATTGTTCCCTGAATCCGAAAATGTCGTCAAAAGTTAAAAAAGTAGAACAGTTTTTGAGATATAGTCAATTTTCCATTTAAAAACTGCTCCACTTTCATAATTTTTGACGGTATTTTCGGATTTAGGAGAATTGACTGTTAAGTTTTGGGATACCATGGTATTCCATAGTTAATCATGGTACAAGTGAGAAAGCAGCTACTAATAACTATTAAATTAGTCATTTTTGACTATAGGTATTTAGCATGTTTTACCACATTTACTAGCAGTCTAAACTAACCAACAACCACTTAGTGCTCACAAGTTAAATAATTCCACCTCTGTATGTGGGTAATATTAGCATAGGCAGCATCAACTTGTAACAGCTTATTATTTTAACAATCTTTACTAAGCTCTTCTGAATCAATGAAAGCATTCGTAAATCTTTGGCAGCAGGATAATAATCTTAAAAATTGTGGAAGTGGGTTTTTCCGGAAATAATAATCTTGTCAAAGTCTTGCATCATATCCTGTCGGGATACGCCTTTTTGGGAGGTTCGACGTTCATCAAGTAGCCTGTCTAAAATGAAATGAGATTTGTTCTTGTATTTAGGCTCAATTTGTTAAATGCTCCTTTAAATGTCTATATTAATAGAATAAAACTTGAAAGAGTATCAGAAATAAAATATTTAGGTATAATTTTTGATGAAACGTTATCATTTAGGAATCACGCAATTTATTTAATGAATAAAATGTCAAAAAAGTTTACTTTTTAAATATAGTTGGAAAATATTTAAGTATGTATGTAAAAATAATTTTACCTCATTTAGGATTTTGCTCTACAATATTATTTAACTTAAACCAAGGTGACATAAATAAAATACAAAAAATTCAAAATCGAGCTATGCGTGTTGTTTTATGTTGTAATAGATATACACCTATTGTAACCATGTTAAATGTTCTTAATTTTATGTCTGTTAAACAAAAAATTGTTTTTAAAACTTTAGAATTTATACACAAAATAAAAAATAAACTGTTGCCAAATTATCTTTTAGAAAATGTAACATATGCTTTAAGCATAATGCTTATGAAGTTCATAATCATGATACTAGAAACAGAAATGATTTTTATATGAAAACCTGTAACACTACTAGAACTTTCAACTGTGTGTTTTTTAAAGGTTTTAGTCTGTATAATAATTTATCTGATAATATTAAAAACTGTGATAAGTTACCAATCTTTAAACGTTTATGTATACACTATGTAAAAACTAGTTTTTAAGAGTGACTTTAGTTTTGTTTTATAACTTGTGAATGTAAATAGCTATTGCTAAATAAAGTTATTATTGTTATTTTAATAATTTTAGGCAATACGATTATATCAATTTTGTCTCGTCAGTTATGTTGTGAAATTTGAATAAATTAAATTAAAGTACCATTTAAATTGCAATAAATTATTAAAAAGTATTAAAACCGAGATTAGGATGTTTTAATGGGTAAATTTAAGTATTCTAATATTATAAATTATGCATACCAATAAATAAATAAAATGGAAATATTTTTTAATATGTAGGTGCATAAGTAAATAAAAAAATAATTGTTTGGAAAACCAGCATTTAAAATGACTTTGTATTTGCAACATAAATTAAATCTATTTATAATACTTTAGAGAGGAGTTTTTGTATTTTCCTAGATTTTAGAAAATAAGTGGTATAACATACTGTTGTATAACATTTAGTAACCGCAAAAATTTGCGTTGACATGAATTTAAAAAAACAGGCCAAAATATATTTTTTTTAATTGTCTGTAATAATATTGTAACTTTAATTCTATTTATAATTTTTTAATTATTCAATTTTTATGATAATTATTACATATTTTCCAAATGTTTCGTATTTACTAAAAAAATATTCTTTGTTTTTTTTCATGATTTTTTTAAAGTTTCCAACAAATTGGCGTTTATTTTTAATTTGTAAGCATGGTCTCATTGTGGGTAAACTCTTTTTAAAATTTTTTTATTTTTAAAATTTTTGTAAATTTTGCACAACGAATTTATTTATTTATGATATTTTATGATAATTATTAAATTTTTTCCAAATGTTTCGTGTTTTCTAAAAAAATTAAAAAATAATCTTTGCTTTTGTTTTCATGATTTTTTTTTAAATTTCTAATGAATTGGCGTTTTTTTAATTTGTAAGCATGGTCTCATTGTGGGTAAACTTATTTTTAATTTTTAAAATTTTCTAACATTTTTCATAACAAATTTATAATACCTTATTCAAAAACCTTAGTTTAAAAGTGCTGTAGTTTTTGATTATTTAACATTTTCCTAATATTTAAAAATAGTTAACCTCGATATACAGGGTGTCACCAAAAAAGTTGTCATCCTTTAAGGGTTTGATAGAACACGCCAAAATAAGCATTTGTGCCATTTTTTTTTTAATAAAAAAATCATTAAAATTTTTATATGTAAATTAGAAATTTTGGGCCGCCACCTATGACAACTGACGCAAAAATGCTTGCACAGTGGGCAATTATCTAAATTTATTAAATTGATTACTTTGTTGATTGATTGTTTTTTGTTTTGCTAATGTATGAATAAAACAATATGTGCTAATGTATGAATAAAACAATACTTATTTTTTTATTATTAGGTATCTCAAATTTCCCTGGTTTTCCCGTCGATTTTAAATTTCACCTTTTACTTTTTACGTCGATTGATGCTCATGTAGCTATTTTTTTAAGTGTTCCACAAAATCATAATAAATGTTCAACTCTTCCGCCGTTATTATCCACACAAAGTTGACAGTGGCGTAAAAAATAATGATGTGTCGCTCTTGCTATCATATCCGGGTGATTTCGGATTTCATCTGCCGCTGGAGTTAAACCAAACTGTCAGTAACCAATTTTGAATAAGTTTAAAAGTTTGCTTGATATTACATACCTGTTTGAAGCTTGAAAACTTTCAAATTAAGTTTTTTTTTTAATTAAAAAGAAATCCAAGGACCCACACATCCTTAAAATGGCAACTTTAATGGAAAATTAAAAAAAAACACAAAGAATTTTTTAAATTATTTACCAAATTAATACCAATTTATTATAAAAACATCTCCAAATCGATACATTTTTAAAACATTATCGACGATTAAATATTTTAATATTTTAAATTATGTGTTAAATTTTAAAACAAAACAAAACAATAAAAAAGCAGTTATAATTGAAGTATGAAATAATAACAAATTCATTTGTTTACTTTTTATTAAAGTCTATCATGACGAGTTAAATTATCTGGAAAATAAAAACAAAACTTAATCATAATAATTATAATTATTGCGTGTAAATGCAAATTCAAAATCTAATTAAAAAAATATTGACAAAATACAATTTAATTACACAGGGGAACGAGAAACAACTCAAAAAATATTTTTTCCGCTGAACTCTTTTTTCTACTCCCACCTTTAAAACGCCCATTATAGTACATGTTTCCATGACACCAAGTGACCTTTTAAATACACTTTGACAAGTTGTGGCTTTATGGCGCTTTAGTCACGGGCTGAAGTTAGCAACAGGTTTTTAGTCACAGGGTGAAGTTAGTTTAGTTAGTTCATACAATCGTTAAAATAAAGTGCCTTTCTTGTAAAATAATACTAAATGTGAAAATTATTTTATTATCTCAATACAAAAATACAAAAGTATTAACTAGTTTCTCAACGCCAATATTTGAAAAGTTTATATGAACATTGTACTGACCTTTTAATTTCTTAACTTAAATTCGGGCACGGACTCCACTGTAAAGTGCTTAAAAAACATTTTCTTTACTTTTACTGTGAAAAACTGTCCATTTTTAAGAAATACATTTCGATTTATAACCTTATAATCTGTGTTTATAAAATATAAAAATTTGACATTTTACGGTGACACACAGATTTCCCTATTGTTTCATAGATGGCGCTCTATATTAATTTTTGATTTAAATCATTTTAAGATAATAATAAGTATTTGTCGTAGAAAAAGTATAGTATGCACCTCGTTTATAAACTTTTCTATACACTCATTAATTTAAGCACTCGCTCGAAAGCTCGCTCGTGCCTAAATTAAATTCGTGTATAAAATGGCGTTTATCAAACTTGATACATAATATACTATTATCTTCCAAAAAACCGTTGGTTGAAAAAACAAAAATAATTTTATGGAGGAGTAGAATTTCTTGAAAATCTAATATGCAGATGCAGCCATGATACTAAACCAAAAACCGAGAAAATAATTTTGTTTAAGATACGAACATATAAATGTTATAGCCATGAATATTCCAATACAAATCTGATATCCTTATTTATTGTGGTTTATAAATACTTAAACTTGAACTTGATGCAATGTTAGGTATAACAAAAACTCGATAAAATAAAAAATAACCTTCACTGTAAAAAGGAAGTGACAAACTTTTTTTTTACAATTTTTGGTTAAACCACAAATTACATAATACTTTATTATTTGTACAAATTATATAAAATTGTGCACAGATTTTTTGTCGAAAAAGAATAAAATATAGTCTCTGGTTTCGTTGCCATGCGTAGCTGTCAATGTGATTTTTTCCTTTACTGGGGCTTTTTTTCCGTTGAAATGTAACATCAGTGGAATGGTTTCACTATCTAATTTTACATCTGGGATGATTATTTGGTTCGGACCACGCAACATTTTTGAAAGGGTTATTGTATATTCGATATTTTCGCCAAATAGTTGGTGGAATTTTTCGAATTTCCAGAACGGGGAATTTGCCATTACCATTTTAAGAACATAGATTCCAATAGGCTTGTCTAAAAGTAAAATTTCATCAAAATGAATTCAACGTTTTACTGAGCGCATTAGTCAATTCTAGAATTATTAATATACGAGGTGTATTCAGAAAATAACGGGAATTGTTAAATTTCGCGGGTTCGGAGGGTCCGGTTGTCATAAAATTTTCTTTATTATGTTGGTATACATGCCCCAGAAGTATGATAAAAACTTTAGCTGTTTTCATTGTTTAGTTTGTCTGTGGCAGCCGCTAAGGTTAGATGTGTTTTATGAGCTCGGCGATTTTTCGTTCGTTAAAAGAAATGGATCAAAGAATTTGTATCCAATTTTGCTTAAAAAATTAAATAAATTCTGTGAAATGTTAACAAAGGCCTATAGTGAGTCTGCTATAAGTAAAACAAGAGTTTACAAGTGGTATAAGAGTTTCCAAGATGGTCGTAAAGACGTTGAAGATAACGAACGCCCCGAACGCACAAGCACATTAACAACCGATAAAAACATGGTAAAAGTGGAACAAATGGCTATAAACCATCAGAGAAGTCGCTGATGATGTTGGTATATCGATTGGCTCATCCCATGAAATTTTTTGAATGTTTTGGGTATGAAACGCGTGGCAGCAAAATTTGTTATGAAATTGTTAAATTTTGAACAAAATTTTTGGCCAAAAACAATACTGTAATGATGCCCCAGCCTCCATATTCGCCAGATATATCTCTGTCTGATTTTTTCCTATTCCTAGTGTTTCGAGAATTGGAAGAAGAGCTGGCACATGTGTATAATATCCAATGGGGACTATTTTGAAGGCGACAACATTAATGTAGACGAATAAATAAATATTTGTTTCAAAAAACGAAAATTCCCGATGTTTTCTGAACACACCTCGTTTACAAGTACCTAAATATTTTTTCCAAAAGCTTTCGTCCTGTGGCCTGGAAGTTCTTATTAACATCATCAGTCCATTCCAAAGCAACTTATTTTTATAAGGTATGTTAACCATTAAAGTTTTAGCACAGTTTTCCCTAATATTCCCATCCTTACAGACACAATCGCTGTTGAAAAAACTATTGGGCATGTCCACATGGATCTGATCACTCATAGATTTACTCACAACATTAATTTTTATGTTGTAACAAAAATCGCCCATTTCGTGTAAAAAGAAGATGAAGAAATCGTGTTTGCCAGGAATAATAAAACATAAGTCCAACATTATTTTACATTGGCCCTCCGAGTTGAATTTGACCTCGCTGTGTTCGCTAGAAACTTGTCTTGGTATTTTAAGGGCGTCCCAATCTTTCCACGTGACGAAATCGTCCAGACTTTCAGGCGGCATATTAGGGCAGGCGAATAATTTACAAATATAGTCTTTGTATGGTGATGTTATAGAAATCTTTTTGTGTACTGGAGTATAGATCGGGACTTTAATTTTAATGATTTTGTCTGTATTAAACGTCGGAATACCTATTACAGTGTAAGTCATACTTTTGGCGTACTTATATTTCGGGGTTTCCCCGGATAAAATCAAAGTTAACTTTGTTTTAAGAACGTTGGTTGATTTAAAAATTATGTTTATAGATTTTGTTTTTTTTGGAGGTATTACCAACTCCGCTGGTTGAACTTCAAATAAAGTTGATTCTGGTATAAAAATGCCTCTGTAGCATATTGGAACATCACCGGGGTTTTGTATTAGTAATTCTTTAGAGCCAGTACCTCCCACTACACCTTCTATCTCTATTTGTTCATTGGGGTGGAAATATGGCAAAACATCGTACAAATATGATGCTATTATGACCATCTCACAAGGATTAGGGTATACAATAGCTAGAGGATCTACGTCAATAGACAGTTTAAGAGCTTCAAATACTTGTACGACGACACAAGCATTGTTTATGCGAGTTTCTTCGCTATTACCTTCTATTATGATATTCACCAAGGTATATTTCATGTAAGGACAATACGTCATAAGTATGACAGCTAAAACAATCCCATCCTTTAAATCGTGTATGAAATTTCTTATTGTTCTTTGTTTTAACTTTTGGCTCAATTTTCCACAATTTGTATTAAAAATAAACTCCATCCACAACAGTAAAGCCTTTTCATCATTATTACACTCTACCAGGGTGAGTATGTGTTTATTGTAATATTCAAAATACTGTTCATCCAGGTAAAAATTGATCTCGTTCTGAACGATTTTCCTCTTCACTTTAGATAGGGCAAACATTTTGAATATCTGCATTATCAAGTCAAACCATGCTTGCGTGCTCAAAGAGTAAAAATTTTCTTCCACCAAAACCTCTCCTTCATCTGCATCTGGGTCGTTAATATTTTCTTTGAAGAAAACATATTGTTGGTAAGACAACAACAATTCAGGGTGAATATGCGTTGTCATCATAGCGTTTGATAACAGGAATTTTATCAGGTTTTTGTACGTGCTATAACATGCCGTTGCCTCACTATCTGGGTCTGACTCATTAACTTCAACACTAAAAATTGCAATTAGTTTAAGATTATAATCAAGTGAGCGAGCTTACTCCGAACTAACGTATTTCAAAATACTTTGATCGGTTAAATTCACCAATAGTTTTTGGACAGGTAATAATTTCTTTTGCACGTTGTCTTTTTTCTTTTTCTTCTTTTTGTCTTCATCCTCCTCGCTAAAAGGGCTGTATATGGAGATGTTGTAAGGCAGCTTGAAATACTCCTTGCAGAAGAATCCTTGAGTGTACAACCAGCTTTCGACTATAGTCAAAGTTTGTATTACCTTTAAACCTATGTTATCTTTCGTATCCAACATAGGAAAGTTCGGGAAGTTGTCGGCATTACCACCAAGGTATTGCGAGGTTAAGGTGACAAAATCTTCAGACGCCGAGTCTAGGTTTATGTTTGAGTTGTTTTCAGTAAATCTAAAGTAATTTTTGTATGCTGTCATTACGCTAATGGCCGATACAGCCCTTATAACAAGTTTACATTCGCTGCCACACGTACAAGAAAAAGTTATGGAATCGTTTATTACAAGGACGGTATTGGGGTGAAATGAAATGGTTACGTTTTTTTCCTGTGGATCATTTTCATCCTCATCGCAAATATTAACTGTTATTTCCGGTATGTTACATTGTACATCCATTTCACACCAAGCCAAATGCATGTTTAGTTTTAAACTAACATTTTCTTCCGTAATTATTTTCGGTATTATAACATCAAAGTAAATTATTGGATTTGATGGTGTTATAGTTGGCTGTAAATATTCTCCATATAACTGTAGATAGTTAAAAACACAATTATTATAGTATTCCTTAATATATATGGGTAGTTCTATAGTATACACGCCATAAGCATCTGTTTTAAAGGCTATTGAATATATAGCTTCTTCCCCAGGTCGTAACCTTAGTAGCTGTGTATTATCATAATCCCTAGGTATAGGCCCATTAACGTACAACATACTAAAAGGCTCATCCAAAGACTCCTGGTTTATAATCAAACGAATCTTTTGGTCTGAAACATTTTTTATTATGAACTCTTGCGGACTACAGTCGACGTTTTGTGAAAATTCAAATTTTAAGCTCGAGAATGTCACCAAATGGCTTCCTGCCGCACAAGATATATTTAAGGTGGGTAGTTTTGATGGTATTTTAGCAGGGGTTATACCTTCTATATGTTCTCTATGGCAGAGGAAGGTTTTTGGAAGAAAGGTTTCCCTCACACCACTCCTAAAATTTAATGTTGTGAATGAAAATTACTTTGATAAAAACCTTACTCTGATGGTCCGAAAATGTAATTTATTAGTAGAGGTAAGTAAACTCCATATGCCACTGCTTCTTTGGGAGCAAACTCCAAAAACAAATAGGTGGTTTCACCAGGCATCAAACTAACCAATTTTATTTTATTCCCTATGCTATCCTTTACGTTAAACTCGCTGATAGCATCCATAAGAAACTTTACTGTAGCGTTAGTGACGGACTTATTCTTGAGGCTAAATTCATATCGTATCATAGCTTCCGGGACGATTTTTGGAATGTGTATTTTATCAGGGTTTATTTTAATGTTGGGATATATCACGCTACCGGTTACTTTAACTGAATGTGTAACGCCTTGATCGAAAATAAAATTGAAGTTTGTCACGAAATCGAATACCTCCCTGAACTTGGCATTTATGTGAAACAATCTCATGGAGTTTGCTTTTATAATGCCCTTCGAAGGTTTGATTTGGACGCCGTGGATTTGTTTTGGGTTTTCAACAACAAACGACATAGAGTTATCGTTGTTATTTTTCAGGAAGAGTTCTTTAACAATTAGGACGTTTAAAGGCATTTTACCAAAATCGACGTGATTTTTGCTGAACTGGTATTCAACTTTTTTTTCCTGATGTTTTACAAAAATATTTTTCTCCTCGTTTTGAGCCACCAAGATTACTTCGACGTTGTTTCCCTGCTCGACTTTAGGCTTGTATCTCAGGACGAATAACATATCTCTCTTGGGCGGAAACATGCCTTGTTTTGGGTAGATATTAAACGTAGTTGTTTCGGATAGGTTCCAGTTAAACTCAACAAAAACGTCCACGGGATTTTTTACTTTAATAAAATATATATTTTTTTCGGGGGACATAGTTATATCATGTTCGTCGCATGATAAACCAGGAGAAATAATTTGTGCAGTTATGAGAAACTCAAAGATATGACAAGAGTTTACTAGTATAGCTATAGTTCCTGTGAAGTGACCAATATCGTTTCCAGTTAATCTAAATCTAATAATTTGATTTGAATTTGCCTTGATTATCAAGTAATTTTCTGTTACTGTAATGCAAGCTTTGCAGGGTTTTATCAGTAAAAATATATCGAAATCGTTCTTGTTTTCTATCCGAAAAATATCACTTGTAGACGATAGTGCAGGAATCTAAATAAAGTAGTATAGTAAATTCTATCGGACTATCCTTCACATCAAAAGGCCTTTATCTCAGTCACTCAAGTAGGCCTTTTGATGTGAAGGATAGTACATGGTTTTTACGAAACCTTTCCAAGTTCAATGACTTGCGGAATAATCTTGATATTATTCAATTTTTCCGATGTAAGTGGTATAAACGCCGACATTTTTTTCACCAGAGGCCGCTCAGAGCACTGCTGTAAGCACTTCATGTGTTTCAACAGCAGATGCTTCTTATTTGTCAGGTCATAATCCACGAATTCCACCTTAGGAGCCATTATTCTTCTGCAAGATCGTATAAAATCAACGTAATAAGTGTTGTTTTTATCCCTTAAATCTTTTTCGTGTTCTGTTAAGTTGTACTGATCGTCAGGAGTAATATGTCTGGGTAAATTTGAGAACAACGTAGCGCATCTTGTTGTATTCCTCCAAGGTTTGACACTTTGCTGCGTATCATTTGGAAGGGCCACTAAATCGGACTCATCAGCCCCCTTGGGAATACTTTTTGTCACTGTCGACAGTGGTGGACATTCGTTTTTTGTAGCAAAAGTTATATTTTTATTTATATACCCCACCTCGTTGGCTACAAAAGGCGTAATACCTGTTACGTACTTGTTAACTGTTTCTTTATGTACATATATTCCCGTCATGTTTACTTCCAACGATGATTCTCCTACTGTATCCATATTTTTTGGATTTAATTCGTTGGGGTACATTAGCTTAAAGACAACTTTAATATTATGTACGCCGATTTCATAGGGCCGCATTTTCAGAGTAATTTCAATAGCTTCACCTGCTTTTATTCGCCCACTTTTTGGATATGCTTCCATGTAGGGAGCTTTTTCATAGGAGTAATATATTGGAAGATATAAAGACTCGTTTTTCAAATGCAACTCATGGTTGTACGTTTCTCCAATGTTCCCTCTTAAGTTTATTGATTCAGGTCTTATTTTCATTTTGGCGACCTCAATTTCGCCATACAAACAAACTCTAATAAATTTTTTTGCAACTGGTTCATCCGATTTGACATCGGACATCTGAGTTTCCAATTGTTCTAAATAAAGTTTATCTGGTTTACTGTTTAAATAAATGTTTACTTTTGTTTACCATCCATCAAAAATTCCTTTACCACGGGGTGTTCAGTTTCTTGGTAAAAGAGAGCTATGGAGAATGTTTTAGTAAGATATATAGGAAGATATTTAGATGGTTCAGATACCTCGATCACTGTCTAAAAAATCTCTGAAAGGAACTTTAATAATTTTTACCAAACACAAGCCAAACTTTTTTGGTACCTTAGTTTTCAAAGGTGTAAATCTACAACATAATGAATAATTTAAAATATATAAAGAATTATTTTATACTTTATTTGAATGATGCTTGAACCATTTGGTGGAAGTCTACCACTTTGAGACATAATACTAAAAAACTTGTAGTTTTGATCAATCTTATAGGCATCTTGAATATCCTACAAATGGAAATGTACAATCTCAAACATAAACACATTGAAAGTAACCATTAAATCATGTTCTAACTCAGCCAAGCCACAAAACATTGAAGGCAAGGAACTTTGGTTTTTTATCACCAGTGTTTTTAAATAACTGCTCCCGATATAACATTTGGGAAATTCTATAATAGTTATCTCATAGTTGGTGATGGGATGTACGGGCAATAATTCTGGTATAATAATTTCTACAGTAAAACGTATTCTCAACGGTTTGGGTTCTGTTTTTATCCAGAATTCTCTTCTGTAATATCCTGCTTTGTTTCCAGTGATTTCAACATCTAAACGTACGTTTTTCATTGCCTATAATGTTAAGGTGTATTTTTTTATGACACCACGAAAGTACTTACCTCAATAAAGCCTTTTTTGGGGGTGACATTAATGTATATATCGCTTTTCATTAAAGCGTCCACACAAAAAGTACCTTGCTGATGACCTGTGTTGGTTAACGTAATAGTTTGTTTTGATGTTTTTCCTACATCAATGGTACCCAACTCTAGTTTTGTCGTGCAAACGTCAACAATAGCTTGTGGAATAGTACTGATAAAGAAATCGTTTAGATAATGATTTCGTATAATAATAGTTACCTTACATTATTACTTGGTAGTTAATAATGAACCCATTAATTTGAATACGGAATGATACGTGAGATAGTGATGTTTGGGATCTGTACAAATGTTTTACAGTTCGAACTATTTCCATGCCTGGGGCTAAGTTAACACCTTTACCTGTTATGGCTTGTATTACAAAATTCTACAAGTTATTATAATACAATAAAAATAAACCCCGAAAAAATGTATGGATTGCATTACAGTAGATTTAGGAGCAAATATCCTAACATTGGCCGTGTATTTGCCATAATTTTTAACAACAAAAGTTTCGTCGAATTGTTTCATATCAAAAGCATTCGCCATCACTAAAGTTCCAGGGTAAATTCGAACATCCTCATGTGTGATATATGGTTTTGATAATTCACAATGTAAAAGTAAATCTGAATCCATATTTTTAGCCTCAAGTATGTCCGACTCTGTGAATCTTCCTACAAAGTTATTATTTTTTAATGGTTCTGAAAAAAATAGTATTATAAATACTTACTTTGCATAACATTCATTTGCTTTTTAAATTGTTTAAAATATAATATATATAAAAAGGTAATATAAAAGACTTGTTTGACAAGAAACTTTTTAAGGTTATATGTCACGGTTACGGTAAGAAGTGTCCCAAGAGTTTCTAATGCTAAAACTTGGTTGGTTGGTTACTTAGTTTTAGTTTTATTTATTGCTTTATGCATAGCTATATAGTATGTACAGCCGGAAGAAGGCAAGGAATTCTAGGATGTGTTTAGATCTAACGTACCCTTAATTAGTTATTAATTTAATACAGACGTGCCTTAGCAGAAAGAGTACTTCTTTATTAATCAATCGTTTAATCAAATCTTTAAACACATATTTGTGGGAAATTGAATGTTCTACAAAAAAGGACTGATGTGTTTAAGCGATTACTCTAATCATTTAAAGTATATCCAAGATCAAATTTGAAGAATTTATGAAAAAAAAATTTTTGATAATTTTGTGACTCATTGAAAAATAAAAATCAGGAGATAGCTGAACTGAACAAAAGTTAAAGTAATTATTTTTTAATTAAAGAACAATATTATATTATAACTTAAGAATATTAAAAAAATATATTTGTTTCTAAACACCGTTGTAATCGGCTGCTGAAATTGATGTTGGAGATCAGAAAATTTTTTGACTGAGACTGCAATTTTATTTTGATGTAGAGTTTTTATATCCTTTTTCTATGGTTTTTATATCCTTTTTCTATGGTTTTTATAGCTAATTGTTGTCTTCGCTGGAGAAGAATTTATATTTAAAAAAAATTTGACCTTACAGAGAAAATTTATTTCCCATGGCAAATGACACTGTTTTTCGTCCCCGGGGATTTTGTTTATATCATCGATCGAGAGTATACAGTATTGCACCCAGGAGATAACCGAAACCCCGTGTACGACAAATGCATTCAAAACGAAGGGCCTAATTGTATTACGGGGCCGAGAGTTGGTCCCTGAGGGACCTCCGTATCATGTTACATGTTCTCACGCTATGTCAGCTACTACAAAGTAAGGTGAGCCAGAGTAAACAAAAACAAAATATTGAGAATATTTTTTGAGTTTTCATTTTTTATAACAGAAAAATGGATTACTGATGAATTCTCAAGATAATTCATTGCTTACAAGTTGATAACCAGTAAAACATTGCATTGATCTAAAACTTTTTCCTTTTAAGGAACCATTTTGCTTAAGCCAGCCATACGACTCATATATAAAATTATATTTTAAAAAGCACCGATTTTGATAATTGTCATAGATTTTTGTTTCAAATAAATGATTCTCTTTATTTACCTTTTTGTTTTATTCACTACCACCAATAGGTTTTTACTCAAATAATAGTGTTAATTTACACTAGAAGTTTGCACTAAAAGAGTAAAAGTACCTTTCTTAAATTAGAACTTTTCCAAAGTAGTGTTAATTTACACTGAACAAAAGTGGGATTTTACCCAGGAAGTGTACACGATTTTAAGTAAATTAACACTTTTTAATACAGTGTAAAATTACTTTATCCTCAGTGCAATAGTGTTAAATCATACTTGCTTACTTGGGGAAAATTACACTACAAATTAACTCTAATTGTACTGTTAATAAAACAACACTATTTAGGGTGGACCTGTGTGAACTCTAATTAGTGTTGCTTAGAGTTGATTTTTTTTACTGTGTAAACGTAAATAAAGTTTAAACAAACAAACTATTTTTTTTTATATTTATAAGAAAAAAACTAAAATTTTTAAAACAACGGTAGGTATATATAAATTTTAAATAAATAATATTGGAACCTTAAGTGTCCAATAACTATGTGGTTTACTTTTATAAATTTTCACGACATTTTCGAATTCAGGGGACAATTTTACATGCAAATTGACTGCTAAACGTACGGGATACATATTGACGAGAATTATTAGTGGCTCCTTTTTCGCTATGACAACAAGTCTCCTAGGATCCATACTTAAAGTGTAACATAGTGAAAACTATATTTTACTGGAGAAATAAAAGAAATCTCTTGCAGTGGAAGTCCCGTGCAATTAACCGGGCAATAAACAGAGATAGTTGAAGAGCTTGCAACCCTCGGGATAACTGCGGCCGTAAATGTCGCATCCCTCGAGATAGCATCCCTCTAAACTGTCTCATAAAACCGTTCCGCACTAAACTGCAAAACAAAAAACCCTGCCCTATTATATTACTATAGACAATAGGTTACAAAGTTAACTTTTACCCGGCGAGGTTTACGAGCAACTCGTTAAATAATTACCTACTTTATAAACTAAATTAATTTTCGTATTTTGTAACCGAACCTGCTATACAGGAAATTAATAGTTTTAGAGTATGAAAAATATGGACACGCTGTGTTTTTCTAAACCGATTTTTGAGACATCTAAAAACTGTTGTTATTAGTTAATTTTTAGTTTTTTCACAAAAGAGAGGAAGGTACAACTAAATCGCGCACCTTATTTGTGTTTTACGTTGCAAGGAAAAAACTAAAAAACTGGTTTAGTACTCGATTTCGATTGATTATTCTTTATATCATTGATTAAGAAATTCAACGCTTAAATGCTTATATAGTTACGTTAGTGTGTGTATTTTATCTAAGGGATCATGGTGAATTATTGTGTTTTTAATTGTAAATAAAATTCAAGAACTAAATCGTTGCATTTTCATGTTTTGCCAAAGGATCCAATTCGGTAAGTACATTTGTTGGTGCAGAATTAACTAATGATAACTTTACCTAATATAATTTATATTTAAGTTTGGACATTTTTAAGAAATTAGTAAAAAATAATTTTTGGACAAACATAAACTTAAAATCAACCATTTTTATATTTGATTTCTCTAAAAAACGCCGACAACTGCATTTTAAACAACAAAATATACCTACGAATTCATGGCAACATAATATTATACAGGGTGTCCTGAAATTAATGCACCATACTTTAACACCAGATTCTACGTGCAAAAATAAGAAAAAAAGTCCCTATAAACATAGGTCAAGAAATGCCTCTTAAGGGAGCTACAGCCCCCAAAAGGAAAGCCCCTGAAGATGGTTTTTATTTAATATCTCCAAAACCGTTAAAGATAGAAAAGTGAAATTTAGGGAATTAATTAAACTTTTTATGACCAATAAGACGTAACAATAACAATTTAAAAAATTTCATGAGGTTTGGGTCAGATTGATAGGAAGTGGGGTTAAAACCACCTTAACTTTTTTGTACGTATCTTGTACCAGAATTTGATATCAGATTATGAAATTTTGGAGTTTTACACATAAAAAAGGTCATATTGTTGAACTTTGTTAACATACACCGTTTTCGCTTAAAATCGATTTGAAAATTATTTTACATGGCATAAAAATCCACAATTAAATCACAACCATAGAAATGGACTCGCGTGGTCCTTGGAATGCGATTGCCATGTTTAGGAAAAAATAGAATAGAACAAGACAGGTGACAGTTTCATGTAGTAAGTGACAGGGTGTTTCTACTTTTTTATAAATATTAGATAAAAACCATATTCAGGGGCTCCCTTTTCGGGGGCTGTAGCTCCCTTAGGAGGCATTTCTCGATCTATATTTATAGGGACTTTTTTTCTTATTTTTGCACGTGGAATCTGCTGTTAAAGTATGGTGCACTAATTTCGGAACACCCTGTATATAATTGATAATATAATGGTATTTTACCGTTTAATGGAGACTTTAAAGAATTCTTAATTAACGCTTTTAATAATGATAAATGCTGTTTGAATTTAGACGACTTATTTGTTTGACGATTTTTACTGAATTGAAATATTTACACTTTTCACGTTAATCATTACTAAAATGTGTATTTATTGTATCTAATAGATACAATTTATATTCACAGGGACTGTATGAAATTTATTTCTTCATTCGGATTAACACTGTTTATTGGAAAACCCATAAAAACAACCCAGAATTTCCTCTCGAAATACACCCAACAACACAACAAATCGTGCCACGGTTTTTTTTTTCGATATTTTTTAACATTTTCTGGCTTTAATCTCAAAAACACGTTTGTAACACACGCGTTTGACAGCTGATTAATAAAAGTTGTACTTTTGTTACGATGATAAAAGCCGAGTGGTATCGCTACTAGCGATACTTCTTTAGCGTATTGCCATTTTACATTGTTATTATTATTATTATTATTATTATCATTTAAATTTTTACTCTGCCTAGTATTAGATTGTCAACATTTTAGCTTGTTATTTTTTAAGCTTACCCTTATTTTACATTTTCATTATTTTAGCTTGTTACTATTTAAGCTTGTCATCATTTTAGCTTTTACTTATTTTATATTGTGATTATTTGAACTTTTATTATATTATATGGTCATATTATATTGTAAAGCTAGAACGTTCTACTTTTAGCTTATCCTTATTTTATATTGTCATTATTTTAGCTTTTCACAATTAAAGCTTGTTATCATTTTAGCTTGTCATTATTCCAACTTGTCGTCATTTAAGCTTGTCATTAGTTAAGATTGTAACTATTTCAGCTTGTCATTATATTAGCTTGTCACTATTTTAGCTTTTATCCATTTAGCTAATCCCTATTTTTCATTTTCATTTTTTTAGCTTGTTACTATTTAAGCTTGTCATCGTTTTAGCTTAATATTATTTTATATTGTCATTATTTGAACTTTTATTATATTATATTGTCAAGCTAAAACTACATCCTTTTAGCTCATCCTCATTTTACATTGTCATTATTTTAGCTTGTAACTATTTGAGCTTGTCATTATTTTTGCTTTGTATCCATTTGGCTTATCCTTATTTTACATTGTCATTATTCTAGCTTGCCATCATTTTAACTTGTCATTCTTTAAGCTTATCCTTATTTTACATTTTAATTGTTTTAGCTTGTCACTATTTGAGTTTGTCATCATTTTAGCTTATATCCATTATTCGCGTTCGTATTTTTTACAGTAAAATTTGAAAATGCCGTCAACTTTCTTTAACAAAAACTACTTACTACAATAACTTGATAC